ATGCTTTTTTTGGGTCAGTCTCTCGCCTTGTCTTTATCTTTTTTTTTTTTGTGTCCATGAAATTCACAGTTTCTGCTTCTTGTTTACTAAAGTACAGATTTTTCGAGTGGCCATTTTGAGTGTCAGGCTAGATCGTATGACATATGTTTTACTACTGCGATTTCCTCCCGTGTGGGTTCCGGGGCCCTATTATAGGGAAAACAAGAATAGACCCACTGCCTACCCAAAAGCGTGTCAAAAGAGTCGACTAATTGGGAGCTTCCTTCAAAGTCAGAGTGCATTTGCCTGAGAGGCAAGGAACCAGCAGTCTGTGTACAAATGAGTCAGGTCTGTAAAATGGATCCACACGCAACACTCAGGTTCTGAAACAGGACTGCAGTCCAGAAGTGAATGAACAGCCAGAACTTTCCACCAGAGTTTACAGCTGGTGAACGAGAAGAAGAAGAAGACTGCCATTTTATGACTTTCCTGTCTTCTTATCTTGAAAGTCATCACATCTCTTATCTTGACTCAGAAAGACAGAGAAGCACTACGTCCGAAAGGCAGTTGTTGGTGGCTCTACAGCATTCCAGACTGACAAGGATTATTTTCATTTTCGTGCCAAGATATGAAGGAGCACAAGGAAATGAGCAAGCTGATAGACTTGCAGGTAAAGAAAGAGTGAAAGCCATGGACCAGGCTGATAAATAGGCTTAAAAGATCAGGCTTAAAATGCACGTATCCATATGTGGGTTTCGGGGGAAATGTTCTGAGGGAAAACAGAATAGGCACGCTACAGGCCTGTTAAACAAGGTCACTAACTGAAGGTCCACTAAAATCAGATCTGTCGGGCCAAAATATGCAGCTACTGCAGACTAGCTGTAAACCACCACACAATGTGCCAACCACCCTGTTACTGGCAAACAAAAAGAAAACAAGTAATGGGAGGGTGTCATATATCACATACATCAAACAGACTATTAAGTGTCCATCAACATCAAGTGTCTTGCCGACTGACGCAAGCAACCATATCGCTTCAAAATCTGCAATCTTTAACAGTATGTATGTTTGTGTGCTAACTCCTCTACACAATGATAAAAGGCTGTAATGAATCATTTTGCGCTGCCTTCTGCTGTCTCACTGGTAGAAGAGGCAGAGGCAGTCCAAGAGAAATGATGGTGGATGGCTTGAGACAGTGGCATGGAGGAATATCATCAGTGGAATTGATGCAGAACTCCAAAGACCGAGATCTGTGGAGATGAATGATCGCCTACGCCAGGTGGCAAGGCATTTGAGGATAATGGTAATTATCATACAAGAAAAAACTTACATCCATAATTATGGTAAACAAAAAGAAGCGCACACACACAATGTATAAACGCATGATGTATTGGTATATATCTCTCACAATGTTGTATACAACATCCAGCATGATACAACTGAATCAACATGACGGTAAAATGTATTAAATAAAAATGTATCTTTACATGAATCATACATGGCAGCGGTAAAATAACAAAATATAGCCAAGCCTGTAGATCAGCTCTTAGATTGTGCAGGAAAAGGAAGCATCAGAAGAGTAACAAAGTGGTCAGTCTCTAGCTGGCATATGGCACAGTCTACAGTCTAGAGATGTGATCTCTACACCGTACATATGTAATATAAATGTGGTTATGGATGTTATGGCAATCACTATGTACAAACTGTATCTATGTACAAGAGACACATGTAAATGTGGGCAGTGATATATGAATTACAAGAACAGCATCCACACAATGGTAAGTCCGTGCTGCCTGCTGTAGATATAATACTCCGTGCTTCCATTGGTTAAAGTTGACAGTACTTAATGAAGGTCTCGTTAATGGTACTGTTAAAATATGGAAAACATTTCTCACACTCAGTGTGAGCAGTAACACACATATATATATATAAACATGCTCATGCAGGAGGGAAAATCAGAGGCACACACACAAACACTGAATAAAACAAAAGTATGAGAGTGAGACACAGAGAGACAAAGAGAGAGAAAGAAAGCACTTGAACATGAAAAGAACTGTAAAATTAAATTATAAAAATGGTCAACCCATATCAAATACTGCCACTAGGGTACGAAGTGTTATATTTTTACAAATTCTAGTCAACTGTATACGAGGTGGGGTGGTCAGCTCCCCACCCCCAACTGCCTTTCCTCCACAGACAACTGCCTGAAAGTTCTGGACATTATCTACCTCAGAAATGATTTAGTTGGAGCAAACCTTGACTCTTCAGCGAATTGAACCAGGACTATTGTCCTGGCAGGTGAATGCCCTAACCATTATAGCTAATGAATGAATCTGTCAATCAATCAAAAACTGACATCATTGCACTTAGGATATTCAGTAGCCAACAAAGAGTCTATAGCTCAATTATAGTATAGTAAAAGCTGCATGGGTCCAGAAGATACGATGTAACAATCAGGCCCAATAACACACACCACTAGGTGCTTCTACACAGTTAAAAGTAAAGTAAAAGTAAAGTTCCCTTTTCACGCCTTTCGGCGCATCGGGCATATGGGCAGGACCATCAGCACTCGGTGGGTAATATTACACTTTCCAGGACAGCCCATCCTGGAGGCTGGGTCGACCTGCGACGTCCCATTTACACGCAGCCTGCAGTGGGTTTCGATCGTATGCTGGCTTACGAGTCGGACTGCAACGCCTTAAACGCCACTAACTAAAAGTTACAGGCTGCAATAAAATCCAACTAAATCGCAGGCAATATTCCCAACAATACCTGCTTCAAGAATACACAGAACACACAAGCAACTTCCAATCCCTCTTATATGTTAAGTGACTAATGTAACACATAAGAAACATTCATCAGAATTGAAAATATTGGCGGAAAATGCTCTTGTCAATTTTAAATATGCTAAGAAAAAAACATTATGCAGCCTAGTCTGCAGTCATCAATGGAGACACTGACTAAAATCTTGACAAAATGAAAAGTTGCAATGCTGGAAGTAAAATCATCATCACCATCTAGTGCTTTGCCAATTTTCTTAGATACGCATGCTTATCCACAATCTGCATTCTTCAAAAGCACATATCAGGTCGTGTGTTGACACCCCTCCATGCCAACACAAAAGGCTGTCAATAATCATTTCATGTGTCTTGCTCTGTCTGTCTCTTTCCACAGATCTTTCTAGTTGTCACAACATTTTCCAGTTTCCCTCTTCTCATTACATGACCAAAAAATGATGACCGTCTCTTTCTGATGTTTGTGATAAGTTGCCTTTGAGGTATCACCTCTTTCAAAACATCTGGGTTGCTCTTTTTGGCTGTCCGAGGAATTCTTCTGTAAAACCACATCTCTGAGGTCTCAATCTGTCTGGCTTATTTATTGTCTAAGATTCAGCCATATGTTACAACTGGCTCTATACAGCATGCCAGAATTCCTTTCCTAACCTCTAATGACATGGATTTATTGCATAAAATATGAGTCAAATGGAAGTAAAATAGAAGATAATAACAAGATCAAACAGGGCCCACTACTTCATTTAACACACACATAAAAGCCTATCACGACATCCTGGCGATGATTTCTTGCTAGTAACTGTACATCTGAATGTGTACAAATTTACATAACATAAAGATGCGCACATTTTTGATGAATACATGTTAGCTTCTGTAACATTTAAAAACTAGAAACATCACTGATTTATGCATAAAACAAAATGACATTATGCCATAGAATGAACTAGCATGTCTCTTATGATCCATACAATGAAGACTTCAATGGGTTGTGGTGTATACATCTAATCCTATAATATCTGTTCATGGGTGCATGTTCAACAACAACAACAGATTGCATAGATTAACCATCACTGAAACCTGCTTGCTTGCTTCTCATGCCAGCTGACCCTCAGATAGGGATGTCCCATCTTCATGGATATTTCACACACTGTGTATCACCCAGCAGTCAGACACTATTCAGCAGGTTCAACATATTAGTGCCCCGGCAAAACAACAAACTGAAAACTAGATCACAGCTAAATGTGAATGTATGGATTCTGGTATGCACATTTTCAGACAGGGGTTTTCACTGATGTTATGAAGTTTGTGCATTGTGCTCAGAAGCTTCTTGCATGTATCAGAGAATACTTGAGCACATATGTGTGTATCTGTTTAAAATGAAAGTGACAGATGGCATGGATTCGAATACTCTGTAAGGTTGGGGATTTTTTTTTTTTGGGTCTGTCGGAGGGAAAAATAAAATCTCAACCTGCACAGTTTGTGGCGACAGCACTAGCAATGTGGCCCTAAGTCCACAAATAATACCCCCCTCCCCCCTCTTTTTTTTATACATACATGAATAGAAGTTTTTTTAAATGGCAGATAGATGATTCATTCTGAATGTTGTGTCTACGCCTTATACATGAGACCATCAACTGGTATAACTCGTTCCAGCGTGAGGTAGTGAAGAAATGCTGAGAGTACTGTATATAGAGACAGAGCTCTGCAAGCAGGAAATGATGACATTTCAAATTGAATTATAATTCAGTAAATGTGTGACACTGCACGAAACTACCCAGGCAGCTGATGACAAACAACATATTGAGTCCTCTTTAAACGCCGCTGGAACTATGTCGGCCACGTCCTTAGAATGGATAAATCAAGACTTCCTTACCAAGCCCTCATTTGGACACCACAGGGGAAAAGATCTCGTGGAAGACCAAGGGAAACCCTACGTAGAACTATCATCAGGGAAGGCTCGCTCATGGGCCACTCAAACATCCAAGACCTACAACGGATTGCAACGGACCGCCGTGCATGGAGAGTCACGACCTCTGCCCTATGTGCCGCACTCGACACAAGAGGAAAGACTAACTAACTAACTAACTTTATACAGTGCATGTGTACTCAGCTGCTCACATAAGATGCTTACAAACATGCACACAGGAAGAAAATTGAGCATATGGAGATATCAGGAATTGTCTTCATGCTGTCCTTTGAGCAAGCATCTCCCATTGGTCATTTTCATCACTACCAGTCCAGTTTTTTCACAGGGTACTGTCCACTCAAACAGGCGGTGCAGTGGCCAGTCTCTTGCTGGTCTTTGATGCCATCACGGACGGCTTTCTCCAGTCCTTCCAGAGATAAGTATTTGACACTGTCGGCACCTATTAAAGTAGAAATGTGGGGTTACAGCACTGATATCAGGAGACATACAATGTGATATGCATGCAACAGAAACAAATCATAGCATACAAGTTTTGCTTGGCCTTCCCAGACCAACAATGGAAAAAGGAGGTTCTTGAGGAAATATTCAACCAGAAGGCTATCAGAGGTCAGGATATTTTCATAAGATACTATGGAAAACTAATACAGAGGACTGTCAGATAGAAATAAAAAGACAGATGGCTTTCAGGGGAAATACTGAGACAGAGGGCTGTCAGATAGAAATAAAAAGACAGATGGCTTTCAGGGGAAAATACTGAGACAGAGGGCTGTCAAAGGAAACATTAAGACAAGGGCTATGAGAGAAAATAGTAAGACAGAGCTTTCAGAGGAAATACTAAGATAGAAGGTGTGTTTGTATGTGCATGCGCGCAAGTCTCTATATGTGTGTGTGTGCACATACATGTGTACATTTATGCATGTGCATGTATGCACGCGTATGTGAGTGGGGCAGATAATAGAGGAAATACTAGACCAATTAGGAGATAGTTTAATTATTTATGTTCTTCAGACATGGCCAATAGCTTTTGATAGCAATCACAGTTATATGCTTCTCTTATGAAAGAACTGTTTTTTTTAAAAAAGTGAAAAGGCACTGTCAAACTATGCTAGATGTTCCAGTTACCACAACAATGCAGAAACAAATAAAGGCATGTATTAATAAGACAAAAAAGTTCATGAATCTATGGATATTTGTGAACATACCAAGTTCTTCAGCCATCTGTTCGACAGGCACCAAGTTGGCAATGAGCTCCTCACTTGTTGGAATATTGATTCCCATGTAGCAGGGATACTTGAGAGGAGGAGATGCTATTCTTACATGCACCTGTGGATACAGAAATGGCCACAGTTAAACAAAAACAATTGTCACTCCCCACTTCACTTGGTGAGAGGAACAGTTCTGTGTGGACAGGGAGGACATTCTTGTGAGAAAGGATATGAGTTAACACAGGATCAATTACCATAAGAAACATGGGCAGTAGCTAGACACTTGCTTGCATATCAGAAAGTAGTGGGTTCAAGTCCGCCTGGTGCCAGATTTTTGTATGCATGATCTTTGCTTCTAGGCTGACCCAGCTTTACATGTGTATCGGGCAAAGTTCAGGGAAGTAAAGGTGGCTAGTGTGATGCTGACCACATCACCTATCGAGTGCCTAATGCTCTAAAAAATATACTTCTAGCACTATATGACTAAAGGTATGGAAAAGGGTCATGTTTACTTTCCTTTACATAAAACATTTCAAGGTAAGTTGAAGCCATTGAAGGCTCTGTTGCAAGAGTAACACACCTTGGAGTTAAATTGTTGTAGAAGAATTCTTAGAATACCAGGGATCAACAATAAGAAACACACTGGCATCTTATACAACCTGAACTCCCTGTGAAGGTTGCTGTGCCCCACCGTCGGGTGTGGGGGGGGGAGTACAGATCCACTACCTCCCAACAAGCATGTCGTAAGAGCCCACTAGTTGTTTTTTTTTCATTTTAAAGTCAGAACGCATCTGCTTGAGAGGTGAGTAACCAACAGTCTGCATACAAATAAGTCAGATCTGTAAAAAGATGTGCATGCAAAACTCAGTCTGGAATAAGACTCAAGTCCAGAAGTGGATAAATAACCAGAAACTTCTGCCGGAGTTTACAGCTGGTGAACGCGAAGAAGAAACAGAAGATATGACCAGAATATTGAACAGAACTGGCTCATAAACAGCATCCTGTCACAAAAGCTGAAGTATTTTGACCATGTAAAATGACATGGTGGCTTGGAAACTGTGATGGTATAAAGTTTCCAGAAAAAGAGGCAGAAGTCTTGACAAAGCTACAGACAAAACACTGAAAATGCAATGGCTATGAAAGCACATAGGGCTGCAGAGAGACAGAAAGACTTTTAGGCTTGCCATGAAGTGGGCCACTTGCTGTAAAGAATCTGCTGATTAGTGATGGTGATCCATTTTATTATGTCCTTTCTTGTCTAGAACTTCAAGCTTCTATGTCTTCATTTCCCTTCTGAGGGAGTGTGTCACATCTATTATGCACTTCAATGCTAAATGTTTAGCTTCAATATGAAGGGGACTGAAGTTGTCTTGCTGAACACACTTTACCTGTTAACAGTTTTATTTTTGTTAAATAAACAAAGCTTATATTATAATGGAGTGATGTGGTAAACAAAACTTCAGAATATCGTTACATATTCAAACATAATAACCTGACATTACTACTTCTTCGTCTTCTTCACGTTCACCAGCTAAAGTTCTGGTTGTTGCTCCTCTCTAGACTTGTATCCTGTTCCAGAACCTGAGTGTCACAAACACAAGGGTTTTACATAACTTGTTTGTATGCAGACTGTCAACTCCTTGCCTCTCAGGCAGATGCATTCTGACTTTGAAGGAAGCACCCAATTAGTCGACTCTTACAGGATGATTGTTGGGGAGACCATCAGCCTATTCTTGTTTTCCCCACAATGGGGCCCCAGAACTGACACATGGAACCTGACCTTACTGCTTGGGACTGTCAGACAAGATGCTCACCTCTTTAGCTCCACAAGTCTTCAGGAGAGTGACAATGGCAGCCATTGTGTTGCCCCTGACGATGGAGTCATCTATCAAAGCTATCCTCTTGCCGTTGAAGTTGTCAACCAGAGGACCAAATTTTTTGGCTACACCAAGTTTTCTCAATCGGGCACATGGCTGAATGAATGTACGCCCCACATACCTATTTTTGCATAGAACCTCCAAGTAGGGAATGTTTAGCTGAAAAGTACAGATGTAAATATGAAAGAGAGGTTGCAAACATAAAATGTTAAATCTTCTCTATAACATATTTATATATACACACACATACACACAAAACTGTGTCATATATCCTTCAGTACCGCCATCAACAGCTGCAGAAGGTCTGTCTTGCGTTGGTTTTAACCCTGGTACCGAAAGCTGACCGTTCCGTAAGCAATGGCAAACTACTGAATGTAGAATTTTGCCAAGAAAAATCACAGTAGTAAAAAAACAAACATGCTGGGGTTAGTTTTGCAATGTCCTGTAAAGGATACATGGCTAACTAACTGCCATCAAGTATCATATTATGGTAAGTGTAGACAGGGATTTATTTCTGAGTGCACAATAATGGCACCCTTATTTGCATCACTTTTCTCCAGTACAAATGTAACAGTGTGTCAATAACTAGTCAACTTACTGTGTCAAGGTTTTATGGATTATATCAGTAACTAGTCAACTTACTGTGTCAAGGTTTTATGGATTATATCAGTAACTAGTCAACTTACTGTGTCAAGGTTTTATGGATTATATCAGTAACTAGTCAACTTACTGTGTCAAGGTTTTATGGATTATATCAGTAACTAGTCAACTTACTGTGTCAAGGTTTTATGGATTATATCAGTGACTAGTCAACTTAAAGGTTTTATGGATTATATCAGTAACTAGTCACTTACTGTGTCAAGGTTTTTTATGGATTATATCAGTAACTAGTCAACTTACTGTGTCAAGGTTTTATGGATTATATCAGAACTAGTAACTTACTGTGTCAAGGTTTTAATTATATCAGTAACTAGTCAACTTACTGTGTCAAGGTTTTATGGATTATATCAGTAACTAGTCAACTTACTGTGTCAAGGTTTTATGGATTATATCAGTGATTAGTCAACTTACTGTGTCAAGGTTTTATGGATTATATCAGTGATTAGTCAACTTACTGTGTCAAGGTTTTGTGGATTATATCAGTGATTAGTCAACTTACTGTGTCAAGGTTTTATGGATTATATCAATAACTAGTCAACTTACTGTGACAAGGTTTTATGGATTATATCAGTAACTAGTCAACTTACTGTGACAAGGTTTTATGGATTATATCAGTAACTAGTCAACTTACTGTGACAAGGTTTTATGGATTATATCAGTAACTAGTCAACTTACTGTGACAAGGTTTTTTATGGATTATATCATAACTCAGTTAAATGGATTATATATCAGTCAACTTACTGTGACAAGGTTTTTATGGATTATATCAGTAACTAGTCAACTTACTGTGTCAAGGTTTTTTATGGATTATATCAGTGACTAGTCAACTTACTGTGTCAAGGTTTTATGGATTATATCAGTAACTAGTCAACTTACTGTGTCAAGGTTTATATGGATTATATCAGTAAAACTAGTCAACTTACTGTGTCAAGGTTTTATGGATTATGGATAGTCATATCAAGTTTTATGGATTATATCAGTAACTAAACTTACTGTGTCAAGGTTGTTATATCAAGGTTCAACTTACTGTGTCAAGGTTGTATGGATTATATCAGTGATTAGTCAACTTACTGTGTCAAGGTTTTATAGATTATATCAGTAACTAGTCAACTTACTGTGTCAAGGTTTTATGGATTATATCAGTAACTAGTCAACTTACTGTGACAAGGTTTTATGGATTATATCAGTAACTAGTCAACTTACTGTGACAAGGTTTTATGGATTATATCAGTAACTAGTCAACTTACTGTGACAAGGTTTTATGGATTATATCAGTAACTAGTCAACTTACAGTGTCAATGTTTTATGGATTATATCAGTAACTAGTCAACTTACTGTGTCAAGGTTTTATGGATTATATCAGTAACTAGTCAACTTACTGTGTCAAGGTTGTATGGATTATATCAGTGATTTGTCAACTTACTGTGTCAAGGTTTTATAGATTATATCAGTAACTAGTCAACTTACTGTGACATGGTTTTATGGATGATATCAGTAACTAATCAACTTACTGCACAAGCATACTCCATGGCTGCTGGAGTAGCAGATTCTGGAACAGTGCTGACCAGATCTACATCCACTGGCCACTCTTTGGCTAACTGATGCCCACAACGTCTACGCACACTAGACACCATCTGACCTGAACAGAAAATTACAGGGTGAGATGTCAGTAAATGAAGCCAAGGTAACTTCTAAAATTAAATAAAGCTCAGCACAGATTCGAACCCACAACCTCTGAGTCGGCAGGCAGAGCGTCTTGCTGCTATCTCACTGCAGCTCACATGTACCCCTGTAAGTCAAAGGTCAATCTGGTCACCTTCTGTAGGTATTTCGATGCCAGATGGTGTTAGATTAAACAGTATCTAAGCTAAAGTGTTTGTATCCTACAGCAATAACTGTTTAGTCTCAAAGATCTGAAACATAAAGCTTTGGGAGAAAAGGTGTTATAACAACTGGAAAATAAGGGGTTAACATAAGATAAGAATAGGATACAACAAGTAAAGATATGAGTGCTAAATATAGTGTAACCAATGAAGGTATGGCGAGAGATTTGGTACTGAAAGCGTTAGCTTGCTCTAAGCCAGTGACTTCCAACCTTTTCAGATGGCTCCCTCTGTGAGTATATGGCAAGACCCCAATGCCTGTCTTGAGTTTACGGTAAGACCCCCCACACCCCACCTCCACAATAAAACACAATCAAAAAGAGGAGGGATGTGTTTTTAATCTATAATTATATGCAGCTGTTATCTTATTAAATTATATTTTTAACAATAGATGTACTCAGGAAAAGATGCTCATGAAAAATAGTGTTTGGATTTGATGTTTCACAAATAGTTTTCAAGAATATTTGCATTCCTAAGCAAACAAAACAAATATTTGTAGTGTTACGAATTATTACAAATACAAACTCATCATTTTCAAAAATTGCTTGATGCCTTCACCCTCTCTCCTTTTCTGTGGAATGCTCCCCTCCCCCTAAAGTGGCACGCCCCTTAGTTGGAGGCCACAGCTCTAACCAGATTCAATACAAGGTTAACAGCCTCAGTCTATCTCTAGGTATGATTTTTTTTTTAATAACAATTTAGCCAAGTGGTCTGGTAGTCTGGTAGTCTTAGTTTCAGCTTCATAGCAATCTTTGCTCCGCTCCTGTGCCAGCGAAAAACACCCAGAATGTTTATCACAGTCCCTTGTGGAAAGATTGACAGACTGCTGTCTCAGCATATCTAGCATACACTCGCATTAACGCATATGGTAGCCATCCGAAGTGCTAACACAAACAGTCCAACATTAAAAATGCAGTTCATCATTGATGATAGCAGAACTTGTCGCCAACAGATCAGCAGTTGCCTGCGCGATCAATTTTAATACGGGTCCCGCCAGCATTGCACGACCGGCATCGCGCCATTTTCTGAATCTACAATTCACACCACGTTGGTCACAGTCGAAAAAACATTCCAAATGCAATCCGCAGCTCACAGGGTCACGTCATGCATTCAACTCAGAAACTAGGCGACGAAACTATATCCAGTCTACAAATGGAGCAAAAATGCATCGGCCACCGTCCGGCAGAAGCAAAAAATTTGCCTCCGCTCCGAACAGCGCCGCTGTCTAGCGTCCATTTTAACCGGAAGCCAAGTGGTATTATTTGTGTGTGTTTTTTTCATTCCCAAGTGCCATGGGATTAGTATGTTTAACATGCACACTGGGTACCCTATGTACTTTATATTCTTCTTCTTCTTGTTCACCGGCTGTAAACTCTGGAGGAACGTTTGGTTCTTTGTCCACCTCTGGACTTAAGTCTTGTTTCAGAACCTGAGTGTTGTGTGCACATCCAATTTATATATCTGGCTTATTTGTAGGCAGACTGTTGGTTCTGTGCCTCTCGGACAGATGCACTCTGACTTCGAAGGAACACCCCTAATTAGTCGTCTTTGGGAACACGAAAAATTCAGAAGTGGATGAACAACCAGAACTTTCCACCAGAGTTTACGGCTAGTGAACACTGGGAGAAGAAGAAGACAGATAACCACAGCAAGAGAATTACCTTCAAACATTGTGTCTGGTCTGGCAAAATAAATGTATTCAAAGATGCAAAATGCTTGAGTTTGAGCTTCTGGTCTGGGAACAATGCATCTTGAGTAAATACCATTCCTTGTGATTTCAACAATTTCTCCTGGGAACAAAATAAACACATACATACAGACAGGTGAGACGAGCTAGGACACTCATAGCTGTGCATGTTGTTTGCATCACAGACATTTAATCTTGTATGATATCTAGTGTGTGAATTCTTGTCCCTTGCTGAACACATACGTACTAGTTGAGAGAGAATAGGAAAGGTAGAGACAGACAGATCCAAGAGATGAGTGCAGTCACAGGCTTATAGCTTGACTGCTGTGACACTCTCTAGAGCTGATCAAACCCTGGCTGCCAGTAATGATCCTGACTGTATCACCGCAGTAACTGTGACAGTGCAGATGGAAGACAGACAGAGAGAGAGAGAGATGAAAAGGGAGAAAATAGTAGAGTGAGAGAGACAAGAAAAAGAGACAGGTGAGAAGAAAGAGAGAGAGAGCGATGAAAAAAGAGAGAAAAGTAAAATGAGAGAGTTAAGAAAAAGAGAGATGTGAAGAGAGAGATGATAAAGAGAGAGAGAGAGAAGTGGAGAGTGAGAGAGATGAGAAAGACAGAGAAGTGAAAAAAGAGATATAAGAAAGAGACAGAGAGAAAAATGGAGTGAGAGATAAAAAATGAGACAGAGAGTGCATGTGCACACCAATCAATGGCCATGTAAATAAAAACAAGAACATTGAGCCTAGTCACATGCTAACTGACAAGAACATCCTGACTATCAGCAGCAAGCAAAAACCAGCAGCTGCAACAGCTCTTATCTACAGCATCTGACTACCAGATACAAGGTGAAACATCACATGGTGGCAACTGCTACGTTGACCTGTACCGAGGTCACTGTGATAGTCTTCTTCTTTTTCTTCTTCTTCTTTCATTTGCCTGAAATAGATTATCTTTATCTGCAATGCTCTCTCTAGTATGAACTCTACTGAGCCACAAATCAGGTCCGCTGATAAGCAGAAACATGACCAGAATCTAATCAAAGCTTGGATAACACCCTGAGCAACAAATTATAACAAGTGCTCAGGCTGTCAATAAAGCTATAATGAATACAGAGACTTGTGTGGTGGTATCTGAGAGCAGCAAGGAAACTATGAGAGGTGCACAGATGAGAAAATACAATGAGATTGAAAAAAATTACTACTGGAAATACAATAGAAACTTTGTAGAAAAATTAAATGACTACTACACATAGATATAAATGTGCTCCATTTGCACAGATATATAAGTGACTTATCATCACAAACACAGCAGTGACATATCCCCATAGACACAACAGTGTCTTACCACCACAGATATATAAATGACTTACCACCACAGACACAGAAGTTACGTATCACCACAGATATATAAGTGATTATCACCACAGACATATAAGTGACTTATAATCACATATATATAAGTGATTATCACCACAGACATTTAAGTGACTTATAATCACATATATATAAAGTGATTATCACCACAGACATATAAGTGACTTATCACCACATATATATTAATGATTAACACCACAGACATATAAGTGACTTATCACCACAGATATATTAGTGATTACCACCACAGACATATAAGTGACTTATCACTAGAGATATATTAGTGATTACCACCACAGACTTATAGGCGACTTACCTCCACAGATCTAGAAGTGACACCACCACAGATATAGAAGTGACTTACCACCACAGACATGTAGGTGACTTATCACCACGGATATGTAGGTGACTTACCACTACAGGAGTTTTAAACCATACAATGGTTACAAAGTAACTAGTCCACTGTGGGTGGGTTTTGAGAAAAGAATGCCTTATGTATGTAAACTGAGCTTCAACAATGGGTTTCCCAATTGGCTATCATTGCAGGACACAGAGAATGCAGAATGCAGTGTAACAGAGAAGCTGGAGAGACTAGCAATGACATACCTGGTAACACTTCCCTCACAGGTACAGCTCCCATGGCAGGAAAGGTGCATGACTCTGAGGCCACCAGCCAGGCTTCACAATCATCGGGCTTCAGTGGTCTGTTTCCTGAAAGACAAAACCTACAAGTTAACATGAATATCTAACCATCAGAAAACAAGTCACGTGTGACAAAGAAAACCTACAGGTTAACATGAACATCCGACCATCAGAACACTAGTGACATGTGACAAACAAAACCTACAGGTTAACATGAACATCCGACCACCAGAACACTAGTGACATGTGACAGACAAAACCTACAGGTTAACATGAACATCCGACCATCAGAACACTAGTGACATGTGACAAACAAAACCTACAGGTTAATATGAACATCCGACCATCAGAACACTGGTGACATGTGACAAACAAAACCTACAGGTTAACATGAACATCCGACCACCAGAACACTAGTGACATGTGACAGACAAAACCTACAGGTTAACATGAACATCCGACCATCAGAACACTAGTGACATGTGACAAACAAAACCTACAGGTTAACATGAACATCCGACCACCAGAACACTAGTGACATGTGACAGACAAAACCTACAGGTTAACATGAACATCCGACCATCAGAACACTAGTGACATGTGACAAACAAAACCTACAGGTTAATATGAACATCCGACCATCAGAACACTGGTGACATGTGACAAACAAAACCTACAGGTTAACATGAACATCTGACCATCAGAACACTAGTGACATGTGACAGACAAAACCTACAGGTTAACATGAACATCCGACCATCAGAACACTAGTGACATGTGACAAACAAAACCTACAGGTTAATATGAACATCCGACCATCAGAACACTGGTGACATGTGACAAACAAAACCTACAGGTTAACATGAACATCTGACCATCAGAACACTAGTGACATGTGACAAACAAAACCTACAGGTTAATATGAACATCCGACCATCAGAACACTAGTGACATGTGACAAACAAAACCTACAGGGTTACACAGACATCTGACCATCAGAACACTAGGAAGATCGAGAGAGAGAAGATGCTGAGCAGTTTGACATCATAGCATAGAAGATCATCTGTGTCAGAACTGGTTGAAAGCACACAAGATAGAAGGGTGTGGGTAGACATGACCACCATTGCCACTTGCCATGGACTATACGTAGTCCTTACATACAGAGATATAACTATGCTATCCCCAGACAAGAAAAAAAACAGTTAATGACATTCTCCTATGAGAGCTGGAGATAACAATTTCACCAGCATTAACGGTGACGACATTTCCAGTGAGACACTGCACTATTGCATTTACAAGAGAGACAAGCTAGACAACCATGCAGTACTTGTACCAGGGGCTTGCAAGTACTGGGATACCAGCTCTGTCTGACAGGCCACAGTTGTTGATAACAGTACATATCTGTACAGACTTAAAAACTAGGCCACTACCAAAGATAACCTACTTTTTTTTTTTCTGGCTCAATTCCAAAGTCACAGTTTGTGTCTAAAGAAATCAAACTCGTGACTGAAATCTAATCTCTCCTTCCAGTGAGAGGTGACAGAAGTAGTCTGTTGCATCTCACTGACATACTTTGTTCAGGTCAGTTGTCACGTCAATGATCATGCACCAAACATCAGAGGAAATGATCACATGTCACATTTGTCCTATCTCTGTTTGTTGCTGCAACTCTGTTAAGGAGATCAACCAACAAGATACCCTACATTGCTGCGTATAAGTTGACTTTTCAAACCTAACAAATGTGTTTCCAAAACTAGGGGTCAACTTATACGGGGCTAGATGCTTGCCTGCCAGCCTGAAGATCCCGGATTCTAATCATCATCGTTTGATCTTCCTTCCAATCCAAGATAAGTACCAGGTAATGTCCTGGGAAGTAAAGGCAGCAAGCATGATGCTGACCACATCACTCATCGAGAGCCAACTACTCTATAAAAATATGAACAGCCAACTGGACTACAAAAATAGGAGTTTAGCATTGTTTGCTCTATACACTGGCGCAAAGTGGGTGCTTTACTTACTTACCATGCACTCACAGTTTTACTTAACTTTCCTCTCTTACAGTATTTCACAGACTATTCCATTATTATACTTTTCTTCCATAGATGTTCTAGAAATATGAGAGGAAATTCCAGTCAGCAACACCAAGAAAAGATATGTCATCACTATCTCAAGCTGCTGTGAATCAGCTTCTACAGTTCCATGAGGTTTAGCATCCTAGGCCCAAGAGGTGATAAAGAGAAATGTTTAATCTGGGAATCTTGTATTCATTGGGCTGCTAGGTAGGAACCTATGAATGTATGATGCACTCCTTGGGACTAAAAGCATTAACAATCTCAGACTACTACTTGTGTCGGCGTCTGTGGTTTAGGCAGAGCAAACGCGCTTTGTAACGCCTGGGTGCCTGGTTCAATCCCTGCTGCGGGCGATTTGTCTTGCTCTGGTTTCGACAGTGGTACCGAAAGCTGACCGCAATGGCAAACTACTGTATGTAAAATTTACAAAGAAAAATCACAACAACGAATAAATGCTGGGGTTGGTTCTGCAAGGTCCTGTAAAAGATATGCAACTAACTGTTAACCCTACCAGACAGCTGGCCTGGTTTACCGGGGATTTCTTAACCAGTTTCTATACCGCTGGCCCTAATTTTCAGCTTTTTGCGCAGCACGGGAAAAACGATGCGTCGCGGACTAAAAATAACCACCCAATGGTTATAAATCCTCTTTGTTAGACATTGCAAATGTCTGCCCGCATGTGTGGATTATATTTGTGTAGTTTTATGTGGACAAATTATGAAAATTCACAATGAAACGAGCGGCTAATGAACCAAGTTCTAGGCTTTTCCCAGTCCAACAGGTGATCAATACTTTGGTTTATCACACTCTGTGATATATATATATATTCATTATCTGTGATAATTTCATAAAGAATACGTTTTTGAAGTGACACTGTCAGTGAGAGCGCGAATGATGAGGACAATCTTGAAAATTATCAATCTTGAAATAGATCGATAGTAGGAGGAGGGGGTGTGTCCATCAAATGGCAACATCTAGTGTTCACTTTGTGAAACAAAGTTGATCCTGATGAGTGAATTCGCACACAAAGGTGGAATATTGGCGCTAGATAAAAGGTAAGCCTATTTTCTACAATGTCTCCAAGTTTCATCATATTCTAGCCACTCGTTTGCATGTAACTAATATTTTTGTATATCATGTTGGTTTTTTCGCGGTAATGCCCAGGAGCTCAGGTTATAGGGACAGTAAGGTTCAGGGCCTCAGGTCTGGTAGGGTTAAGTACTGCATACAAGAATGTTACCTGTAGCAACATCTGTGGGCAAGAGTTTTCCAATGCACAGTGGACGATTGCCATAAGAATCTCTGACAGCCCAAACACGATCATGATTCAAAATGAGCAGAGAATATGATGCTACTGTTTCTTGCATCATGTGTCTGATTCTAGAAATGGCAGAAAGGTCAAATAAATAGTCAAAACTACTGTTAATCAAAGTTTTTTTTTTTAAAGTTAATAAAGCATGCTTAAAATAGCCCAATACATGCATTTCAATTAAATTAACCCTTCTGCCCCATAAAAATCTTTAAAAAAAATTATCTGTTTCAAAATTTTATTAGAAAGAGACATTGTTTTAATTCTCTGAAACTAAGAGAAGGGAAGGGGGTCTACATAACTAACAAAACCTATTACTACTGAATAGACAGGCAAGCCTAATAGCTATTCCATCATCAATGCCCCCCCCCCCTCCCGGGGTCACTAAAACTTTATGATGACATCATAACGAGAAAAAACATTTGTTTGTCCTCCCCAAAAAATATCTTGAACAATTTTTTTAAAACCAATTTATCACATCCACCATGTCTACACACTGTGCAGCTGCAAACAGTACCAAAGCTGCCATACAGGCATTTTGGCACTGCCCAGACGTCATGTTATCAAAAAACCGTAAAAGTCAGAAAACTGGCTTTCTCTGTGCAACAGGGTTGAAAATAGCTGTCAACTCTGTGAGATGGGTGATGGTTCTATTCTTCTGCCTCTGCCATCCTTAAGTTGAGCTGAACTGAGTTGAGAACTGACATCACAGCACTCGTGACATTCCCATGTGTGCTCCGTCCTCATCTTCAGCAGCCAGTGCAGAGTTCCAATACTGATGGTAGTCACAATCTGGTTATATGTCCCTCTCGTCTTTCCTCCGAGTGTAGTGAGCCAGCCAGATACTCTGGTTACACCCAGGTGCCTCATTCTCTCCAGGCCATAATAATCTTGCCACCCTTAATTACAACAATAAGATGTACACAATTACAGAGGCTAATCAACTGAAGCCAAGCATTTTAACAGTTCCAGTCACAGCATCTCAGCCAGGAGATTCAGCTAAGGTTACTGACAACAGCAAACATAAAAACTGATCATGCACAAATGGACAGCAGCAAAATCTGTTAGAATAGCAAACAATCCGCTATATAGTAAGGATAAACAACGTATATAGTAAAATCATATTAAAATAAACAATATTTCCATTCTGTCCCTGGCTTATTGACTTGTGGTATTTTACGGAGAAGCCAGTATATGTTTTCACTTTCAGAGTTAGGATGATGCAAAAACAGTTAACATCATCTACTAAATTCTAGCTTCCCAGTCACAGAGCACAACAAGAGAATTACTTATTTTTAAACACAGATGAACTGATGTCTTACCTAGCAACCCAGTTTCCTCCATTAGGTTCCTCATCATCGGGTGTGTGTGTTAGTAGCTGCACAATCAGTTCACTGTCAGAACTGCTGGACAGCCCGACTCCGTGCTGTAGTAACTGTCATATTAAAATAACAGATGCAAGATTAAGACAATACCTGAATGGAACTACATAACTTAGATAACAGCAACAACATCAGTAACAGTTGCGAAAGATTTTCTTACAGTGAAGATCATAATGTTGTTGAGACCAAAGATTGAATTGAATTTCTGTCAACTTGTCTGTGCAGTGTGGATAAGAAAAACATTGGAACATCTGATCTAGCCAACACTCTGAGTCAAACTCTGTACTTGTGTCTGACACTAACAAGTTTCTAACACTATCAGCAGCTCCTACATCAGTATAAGCTTTCAGTGAGCATTTCTATGACAAGTTAAACATGTCCAAACATCTTTCTAATCATCCTATCAGGCCTTGGCTTTGAGTGTACTCCCACACAATTAAGTAACTTGTCCAGAATTATAAAACCTAATTCTTCTTTTTTTTCTCTAGCATTCTTCTGCATTTCGATGTCAGGTTTTGAAGAGGCATTGGGTGCAAGCCTGATATGTGCTACATAGAAGCTGGTATTTAAGGCTTCAGAAATTTCAACTATCCATAACTGGTTTGGTCGACCTTCAGCTCTGCACTATTTAGTGATTGTTTTGACACATGTCCAAATCATCTGAACTGTTTAATACCGGATCTATCCAGACTTGTCTCCTGTGTTGTCATTTCTGACCCTGTCTCTTCTAGGTACATTTAGGATTTGTTGTAGACATTTAATTTCTGTTGCTTTTATTTTTCTCTTTCATTTTTAATGTTCATGCTTGGCACTGGTAACACAATGTTGGTGAAAACACTGTACTAAATAATGTTCTTAAGATGTCGATATAAGAATATTTAAGATGGTATGAATTTGGCAGTGACACCCTGGAATCCTTGCCGTGCTACACTATTTTGTACACTGTGCCAAGATCCTCCTTACGACAGCAGACTGGAGCACTAATGGAAGTGCAATGAAAGTAGCTATCTACAAACAAATAGTAGATAAAATGCAATCACCTTAACTCTTTCAGTGTTAAACAACTAACCATACATTTCATTGTCATTTCAAAGACAATATTATGTTCTTGTTGTCTTCTATCACAGACAGTCATTACATTAACTCATTGTATCTAAGTAATTTGTTTCAACTATATCAAACTTATTCAGACCAAATTAGTTACTGGTTTTAAACTAAACTTCTTAAAATAGAAAGAGCTAAGTAACAACTATTTGGGACTGAAAGAGTTAAGTGCTTACCTTCTTTTTCAAGTGTTTGGCATTAACCAATTCCCCATTATGAGCAACTGCTATCAAGCCATGCAGGCTCTCCACCACAAATGGTTGTATGTTTATGGCATCAGAAATTCCTTGAGTTGAATATCGGACATGGCCTGTCATCAGAGAAGAAAACACACCATGTTCACAAAGACAACCACAAGTAAGATCATCACAAACTAATATGCTGCTGTTCTTTCCCTTCTTCTCTATGTAGACCAGCTGTAAACTCTGGTGGAAATTTCTGTTTTTTTCATCCACTTTTTTAATGTAGTTCTGTTCCAGAACCTGAGTGTTGTGTGTGCATTCATTTTACAGATCTAACAAATTTGTATGCAGACTGCTGGTTCCTTGCCTCTCAGGCAGACACATTCTGACTTCAAAGTAAGCTCCCAATTAGTCGACTGTTACGACATGCTTTTGAGTAGGCAGTGGGTCTATTCTTGTTTTCATTACAACAGGGCCCCAGAACCCACATAGGAAGCATATGCTGTTTTTAAAATGTAATAGTTAATATAATCTTTGCCAGCAGATAGGAAGGTTCACATGCACTTTCATTATAGTCTGTGTTATAATATTTCTTATGACTGACATCTCCATGTTATAACATTTATAAGTATCATCATAAAACAACAACATACCAATTTAAAAAAATTATACAAAGCCACTTATATGTAAAATATAACAAACAATTATACAGAAAAGCATATATGATGGTAATATATGAATGCAGGTAATAACGCATAACTTCTAATCTGGAGATATTTAGCACCCAACTCGCCCACTTTAAAGAAATGTCAAACAGCACCATTAAAATTCCATAAGAGATAAATTCATAAGTATTCACTGGCTCATACAGACTGAAGAAGAAACCAGACTGCACATTAGACAAAACAAAACTGTAATTCTGAGCATAAAAAGATGAAAAATTATTGGAAACAAAATTATTGCCAGCCCCTAACTAAAGAGGCAAGTGAATTTGGCAACATAGTCAGGTGTTGTTCTTCTTTTATCTACTGTACAGGTTATGTCGGTGTGTTAAGAAATGAGCAGGCAGATAGACTGGCCAGTTCTGCACCACTTGGTGGTGAACTGATGTATGACAAGCTGGATGTTGTGAGAGCTCTTTGGGAGTGATTGAACAGTGCAGAGGTACAAACAGATCATTTTGGTCCGAGGAGAATGGTGCTGTAAGGAGTTGCAAGGGGATCTGGCCGATGCTCAACACTCAGGGCAAAGGCGAGACGGATATACATTCAGAAAGTTAGTGGTACCATCAGAATTTTAACTCTCTGCTTGTTGCTGAAGATGGGGTCGGGCTTATGGGGGTTTCCCTAGTGCTTTGATGTTGATTCTTAATTCAACATTCAACATTCTTCTTTTGTTCGCTTTAAAAAAAATATCTATATCTGCAATGCTGTCTCTAGTATGAACTTCACTGTCTTACCATTGTAATTCACTCAACAGGTCGCCCAGTTTGGCTTCTACCAGTGTCTCTCTTGACCAGAAGTTTTGTCTTGAAAAACTGTATCTGGGACAGTTTTGGAGGATGAGATCTGTTGCCTCAGAGTCAGTTTTTACTAATTTACAATATTGAAAAAAATTGAACAACAATAAAAACAAAAATGAACTGACCGATGCCAAGGTTTCCCTTTAAACAGGTGATATCTTCATCTGAGAATGCCTGGTTCACCAGACCCATGCCTTTCCTGGTAATAAAGTCATCATTGGGGCCACCATTTGTGGTTACAATACCTGCACTTTCTTGTCCCCTGAAACAAATGATCCCTCATGTTATTTGTTAATCAGACACAATATAGAGATGATGGATGTTTACGAAATTGGGCAGCCTATTCTCAGCATCAGGTCCAGTGTCACACAAGTCTCAAATACAGCATACTTTCATACCTGTCTGAATTACTAGTTTCTTTGAGGTCCCTGTTGTGTGCCTCTAGGATTTCACTTTCTTATATGTTCAACTAACAATTAATGGCTAATAGACTGAAATAGCTGGGGCCTACATAGAGTAGGACAGACAGGCAAAAACTGTGTCCACAGGGAAGTTGAATTATTGTAGATAATGAGGCAGACCAAGACAATGATGGATTGATAATATCCAAGCAAACCTACAAATACTTAGAGTCACCAACTGGAAAGAGAAAGCCTACCACAGAAATAAATGGAGGTGAGGTATATCTGCAGCAATAAACCTCTAGGGCTCACAAAAGTAAAGAGTAGAGGTTCTGTATGATATTCAACATTGAAAATTTAAATCAGGTTGCAACTAGTACTATTATATTTCGACACTTCGTTGGCTACTGATGAAGGGGATGGGGCATGTATGGGAATGTCCTGAGTGCAGTTATGTCCATTCTTGATTCATTCATTCAATAGTTTCAATGCACAATACATTCAGTAGTTATCAATAAATACATGGAGCAGCGAGTAGCTTCTATCTGAAACCTCTCACATTAAAGAGTATGTTACAGAGTTATGAGTTTAGAACTGATATCACAGCACTAAGGATGGCTGAAGCAACGATTCCCAGCCCCTATACACTATGATTGGTTGTTCATTCATGCTTGCAATCCTTTCGTACATGCTAGTCTAAGTTAGAGGGGAGTCACGTTGTGTTCTGTTGGGTAAATATTGGGTGTTCTGTGAGCGGGAAGGTACACAGTGTGTTTTACTCGTTGTTATGAGCGGCCGGCGACATTGCGTATATTCTAACCTTCTCGAACTTCGAGTAGGACATAAATTTACTTCAGTTGTCAGTGCTGACGACCGACAAGGCGAGCTGACTGTAAAATGTTAACAACAATTCTGAAAGCACAGGATGTAGGCTGCAGTCTCTTGTGGGACGTAGGTTAATGCTGTAAGGGGTAAAAAAAAGGGGGGGGGGGGGGAGGGAGTTAGGGCCATTCTAGATCTTCTTGGTTCATTAAAAGCAGTCACATCGTGTAATACACAGCACACGTTATCGCCGGTGAGAGTGTTGAAGATAATACAATCTGATATCCCTGTAATAGAGAGCCACACTTGCGAAAGCTCAGCAAACATGAATGAACAACCAATCACGGCGTGCCTGGGCTGGAAATTGTTAGTTGTTTCCTCAAGAAATTCCCATATGTGTTCCATCTGCATCTTCAGCAGCAAGCACAGAGTTTCAGTTCCAGTGGTACCGGTAACAGTCCGACTGTATATCTGTCTCGCCATCCCCTGAGTGTTCGGTGTCAGGCAGATCCCCTGGCCAACACTCAATATCACAGATCATCTTCTTCTTTGTGTTCACCAGCTGTAAACTCCAGCAGAAAGTTCTGGTTGTTCGTCCACTTCTAGACTGTAGTCCTGTTCCAGAACCTGAGTTTGCTGCATGTGCATTCGCTTTACAGAACAGTCTTATTGGTATGCAGACTGTTGGTTCCTCACCTCTCAGGCAGGTGCACTCTGACTTCAAAGGAAGCTCCCAATAAGTCCACTCTTATGACATGCTTTTGGGTAGGCAGTGGGCCTACTCTTGTTTTCCCTATAATACAGCCCCCGAACCATACAGGGATATTAAAGATCAATTCAAGAAACAATAAATCAGGAAAAGATAACAGTTACCAAGAAGATAATGGAGAGATAATATAAAGACACACCTGCAAACACTTGGAGTCACTAAACTGAAAGAGAAGACTAATTAAAAAGATGAATGGAGGCGGGTGATATCTTGCAGCAACGAACGTCAAGGGCTCAGAATGCTAAAGAAAAAGAGGAAAACAGTTACCAAGAGATACTGAAGTAGCTGTAATGGTTCTATCCCAATATCTCCCCCCAAACAGACAGTTGAATTTTAGGGGGTTGTAGGTAGGCTGACTGCAGACGTGGGACTTAGACTGCACTCTCTCGTGGGACGTAGGTGGGTTGGGGTTAGGCCCAATTCTAGATTGTGGGGTAGTAAAACCATTAGAAAGCTGGGAAATCTGCTCTTACCACACTGGAAATATTGGACTGTTCTGTGATATCATCCTGGGGGAAGATGTTGGGAAAGCACCACTGTAATATCTGACAAATTATTGCGACTGAGCAGTTATATCAAGAAAGTATGCTGCTTACCTGTGCTGCAACCCAACAAGACCTAGGTGAATGAGATGGGACAAATTGGTGTCTGTCTTCCAGTTTCTTGTAGATACAACTCCAAACAGCCCACATTCCTCTCTCATCCCTGTCTCCCCCCTAAAGCCGGTGTCCTCCCTGCTGCGAAGTAAAGCTTTTGCCATGTTTACTGTGAAATGAAGATCAAAATTAATCATGTTGGGCTTCAAGAAGTGTCAAATATAGACACAAAAACATAAAATTTAGGCAGATGGAATTTATGGGTTAGATAAATAGTAAACAAACTAGAACCTCTATAAACTATCCCTGAGAAGTAAAGGCAGTTGATACAATGTTGACCACATCATCCCATTGAGTGTCAGTTAGTCTATAAAAATATATGAGTCTAACATCATTTTGCTTATTCGGCACTGGCATTAAAGGTGCCTTTACTTTTCTATAAACGACCACTTATGGTAGCCTCCGACTAGCTACTGTGTTATGATGAAGCAGCAGTAGTCTGCAGGTTACCATGCAGTTCTAGTGTAGAACCTTTAGTGAAGGAAGGGACTGAACATGGTCCAGCATATCAAAATGAGTTTTACGACATTAGACCAAATTAAATACACACACACCAGGATGGTCATGAGAAACCTGAATGCTTCAAGATGAAAATCTATGACCAGATGATTGTACAATCAAATCAACTGACCTTGTTGGAGACAGCACAGGTAAATGTTCACAGGTTATCAAACTGTGGCCAAATGTTTCAATTCTCAGACTTGGTAATGTTTATTTAGCAAACCAAATGTCCGATGTCTATGTGCTAAAGGATACACTGGCAACTCGAGTTAATACAATGCTCTACAACCTCTGCATAAACCTAGCTACTTCTGCGTGATGCAGTTCACCATGATCTTTTTATATGACTATCCAATGAAGAACTCTTGTATGATGCAGTCCTCTGTAATCTTGTCCAAAGTCCTTTCTGTCGGAAGACTTGTGTATGTGTCAACAATAAGTGGTTTCCCCTTGCTGCCTGTCAGTTCCTGCGGCCTGTCAGTTCCAGCTGGCAATATCCTGTTTCAGTACAAATGTTTGTTAGCACCAGCCTCTGGCCGCCTATATATACCTGACGGGAGGTAGCCTAGTTTTTGCTAAAAACATAATTCAGGTCTAACTGTTCTGCTTATCAGATAACAGAAGAACTTACACTTCTGCATGCAGTAATTATCTATATACGTCAGTGTCCTGCATGAACACAGACAAACTTGGCCCTACTAAATGAAAAATGAAAATGCTAAACAAGATATACCTTCTCTGTAATCTCATCAACACCTTGTTATTTCTCAACCTGCTGTTGCACAATCAATGCCCTATAGGATGCCCCTAACCTTCAGTGCCCTGCCAAACGTCAGTGGGCCCATAAATGATGAACAAAATCAGGCCAGGTTCAATAACCCCAACACTACTAGCCAGCTCTAACAGATAAGCTATGACTTGGTAGCTTTGTTGTAACCCATATCAAAGGTTAGGGGGGAAGGAGAAACATCATGCACTAATATGGGCAAAGATCAGTGCACACACCGGGTGATGTCGGCTGATGTTTGATTAGTTCTTCTGTACAACAATGGAAACGCCTGACAGTTTTTCTGGCATACTGTCACAACATGATCACTTTTAAAGTATTAGGTCAAAAGTCAAGGACTGTTACTAAAGTACTGCAAGGAGCTGTTCTTAATCATTTAATTTTTCCGTAACACTTTAATTTTTTTTGCATAATTGTATTTGTCCATAAAACTTTTATTTTGTTGCATCATTTCATTTTCCATAACATTTTTATTCTGTTTGCATAATTTCATTTATTTAAAACACTTTCACTTATTTGCATCATTTTATTTGTCCATAACATGTTCCGTTTGTCATTTGTCCATAACACTTTCATTTTGTTGCATCACTTCATTTGTCCACAACACTTTCATTTTGTTGCATCACTTCATTTGTCCACAACACTTTCACTTTGTTGCATCATTTCATTTGTCCACAACACTTTCACTTTGTTGCATTTATGTAGTAAATGTTCTACATGTCTACGAAACCTAAATGTCCTCAGCATTCCTCCCATCCTTTCTGCTGTTTCAGTCTTGCATATTCCTAGCCCCCCTGACTAGTTTTCTGGTGCTGCTCTAGTTGTCTAGTCTGAGAAATGTTTCTTAACCTGGCCAACTAGCCTCATTTCTTGACTAGTCAACCAGAACCTGGTCAATTAGTGCCATGACACTGCAGCCTTGGATGGAGGTCACCGTATTTGGAACACTTGTAGGCAGGGGGGAATAATAGATTGCATGCTTGGTTCAAATTTATGAATCTATTATAATGAATGGTCTCCCTTGCTACATTTTAAGAATCTTGCAGCATCTCAAGCCTTACATAAGTTTCCATCTTAACTTTACCTAATATCCAACCAAACATTAGCTTTACTTATCCTTTTCAAATAAATGAGAGAGAAGGGGACGGACAGAGAAGGATGGTGGTGGTTGATCTATGTGTTACTTCCATATACAATCATAAATTTCCATGTGTGGGTTCCAGGACCCCATTATGGGGAAAAAAATGAACAGACCCACTGCCTCCTCAACAAGCATGTCCTAGGAGTCAACTAATTTGAGTCTTCCTTCCATGTCGAAGTGCATCACCCGAGTGGCAAGGAATAACCAACTGCACACAAATAAGCCAGTCAAACCGATGTATATGCAAAACTCAGGCTATGGCACAAAGCCAAAGTCCAAACGGATGAACAACCAGATTTTTTCGCTGGATCTCACAGCCAATGAATAAACAAGAAAAGGAATAATAAATTATTTAAATTTTGTCCTAGCAGAGGCTATATGCAACCCCCCCCCCCCCCCCCCCATAGAATATAACAGTTTTAAACATACCTCTATAAAATATAAGTTTTAAACATACTGTTTTTTCCCCCCTAGATTACACTTAAAATACTTAGTATCACTGCTATTTTAAAAATGTAGGTATATTTAGAGCATATCCCAGCAAGTGAGACTAAGAATTAGATGTAGATGTGGATTATTATTTTCCTAAATGATGTTTCAATAGAGTAATGTTTACAGGTTCTGTTTTCACTGATGTTCTGCATGAAAGTAAAAAGTAAAGTAAAAGTAAAAGACCCTTTTCCACGCCATTAGGCGTATAGGGCTAGGCCTATATTTTTATAGACCAACGGCACAAGATGAGTGATGTGGTCAGCATCACGCCGGCCGCCTCTACTTCCCGGGACTGCACCCAGTACCCACTCAAGGCTGGGTCGACCTGGGAGCCAAGGTCATTTTTGAATAAAAGTCTGTCTCCGCCAGGGAGTGAACCCACGACCTTCGGATCTGTGTCGTGCGTCTAGTCGCTCAGCCACGGCGACTCCCCCTGCATGAAAGCACGTCAAATTTTTTTTTTTTTTTTGGGGGGGGGGGGGGGAGAAGCCAGGTCATCTAATTTCATGATGCTATGTCCTGATTATATGAAGTTCCTGGCATTCCCATCGCTACATCAGTATTTAGTATGAGATCACTTTTTCACTGACTTTTCTTTTACCAGGGCTTTTTGCTTTTTTTTTTTTAAATAATTGATCTGCCAACCTTTTTAAACTGATACTATACTGCAAAGCTCTATCGAAGGTAAGAGGAAGACAAAGAAAGACCTGGATTCAGAAATGGGATGAACAGACAAGCCTCAATAAGGTAAATACCAAATTCATGGCATCTGTCTGATAGAGGTGGAGGGAACTGATCAAACAACAGCAACAGGAGACCCAGTGATGCAGTTTTAGGGACTACAATGATGGTGGTCTTCTTCTTCTTCTTGTTCACCAGCTGTAAACTCTGGTGGAAAGTTCTAGTTGTTTGTCCACTTCAGGACTACAGTCCTGTTCCAGAACCTGAGTGTTGCGCGTGCATCTGATTGACAGATCTGACACATCTAAGTGTAGACTGTTGGTCACTTGCCTCTCAGGCAGGTGCACTCCGACTTCAAAGAAAGCTCCCAATTAGTCGAATTTCACTACATGCTTTTGGATAAGCAGTGGGTCTATTCTTGTTTTCTCTCAAATAGGACCCCGGAACCCACACAGGGGCAATGATGGTGGTGACTCAATCTCTGTGCACTGCTTTAGAGAACCCCCGTCTAATATCATCTGCTAAACTTGTTTAACTAACTGTATGAGTTAATACTTCCTTTTTCTCCATCAGGGCGGCTTCCTGAATCTGACCACCCTGAGATTACAGAATATGTCTGAATGCAAGCCAGCAGGGCAAAATCTAAGATTCTATTCTTGTTTTTCTTCTGCTTTGTGTTCAGTGGCTGTAAACAGATCTAGCTTACTTGTGCACAAAAGTGTTTGGTTCCTAGCTGCTCAGGCAGGTGCACTCCGGCTTCAGAGTGAAAATTAGTATCATTTTATGACATGCTTGTTAGGAAGGCAGTGGATCTATCCCGCCCTTCCCAATGGGGCACTGCATGGGAAGATAACCTGTCCAATATCCAACTACGGGAACAGTTAGCATCTACACCTTACGTCATTTGCTGCGGGAGACGGAGCATCTATGGGTATGCCCAGTATGATGTCGATTCTGGCTCTCCTTTGAATCAACCCCAAAATGGCAGCTTTAATATGATGGTGTTCGAAAGAGAGCTAAATTGGCCAATTTCTTGCCATAAAATATCCAAAAATATCAGAATGCGGGTCAGTTCTATTAAAAATATATGTGCCGGCTCCGGATAACGAAAAAAATGCTCTGACAGGGTCTCGGCGATATGTTACTTGCCGACCTGCTTCTAGGGACTAAACTAGATGGCTGGGACTCACGAGTGGCAGCTACCACATCTCCTGCAACTTCCTCTAATTACTGTACTCCTGAGTCCCAGGCACCTAGTTTAGCCCCCCATCCGCTACGCGCGCAGCGGCGCGGGGAATACGCTCGGCGATGAGTTTAATCACGTTTGGCGCATGCCGACAAGTCTGACATCTACCGCTGCTTAACTCTTTGAGTCCCAGGTCGTTTAGCATCAGAGGCCCAATGGCTAGTCAAGAGAGACCTAAAATAGGCGCATCTTGCGTTTATTGGGCCTCAAGGTAGGAACCTAGGAACGTATGGTGCGTTCCTTGGGACTCAAAGAGTTAATCCTCCAATCGGAAGAACACTGTATTGCTAATCGGCTTTCATCGTCTGTAATGTCTCGAAATTTTAGATATACGCAAACACCGTCGTTCAGATATTTTTGGATGTTTTATGGCCAGAATGTGGCATGCCGCCATTTTGGGGGTTGATTCAAAGGAGATCTTCGATTCTTAAATCAGTAATACATCTGTGCTATATGGCTATACAGTTGAACGTGATTTACAGGATCGGAACCGGCCGCGTCCTCATCCATAAGATGTCAATCCTGAAGGGGCAAACTAAACAGAAAACGAAAAAAAAAAAAACTTCCCGTAGGCTGACAGAAGTATTTTTACCTGCTAAACATACTCTCCGTAGAAATTACTAGAAATTATCTCTGGTTCTAAATACAAGATGTCTTTATTTTATAAATCGACCTTTTGTTTTTTCTACACAACATTTTCAATTGTATTAACATTAGTGCTTAATACAGACTAACAAACACCGCATTTACTGTTAAGACTGCTCATAAATAGTAACATCCTTTTTTGGGGTTGTATTGCGTAGTAACTATTGGTTCTAGCAGACTACGTGTGCACGATCAATCTGCAGAAAAACGCATATTTCACAAAATGACAGAAAGTGAAAAACTTACAGAATATAACTATCAATTAAGGAAGCCGAACTTCGCTAGATGATTAGCACTTATAAATGCCACTAGTTGACTGTGATTACGGTAATCATTACCTTATTTATTAAGATACAAGTTGCTGATCTGAAAAACCGCAAGATGTGTTGTGCTTGAAAATATCAACAGCCGCAACGAGACGCTTCTGGTAGCTTGTATGTTTGAAACAGCTCGGCACACGCAATTGAACACAGAATCAGCTTTGTCTGTTGTTTATCAGATAAATGGAGTTTGGTGAAAGTTTGTGTCTTTGCCCGATGGAGGCGGCGACTGACTTGTCTCCTCTGCCACTGACCATGTTTATTCACTTCTGCTAGCTTTGATAGTAGTACCTCCCAACAAACGACATTGACCGACTTTACAGCACGCTCGATTATTGCTCTCTATGTTTACTGCAAAATTCTCCACATGTAACAATTATTTTGGGGAGCAAATGTTGGTTAAGTTTGTTGTACGCCGAACTTGTGGTTTTAGTGTTGTTTGTGCGTTGATGTTTGTGTGCAAGAGAGACTATTTAACGTGTCGCAGGTGTGTAGTGTGTAGCCACGTGGTGGGGGAAGTCGGTCGACAAGGCCAGGGTTCAGTCAGTTTGTGGAATCACAGGTCACAGACAGACAGCAGTAACAGTACAGCATGGAGACCGGCGGTAGGTGTTATCGTTCTCTCGTTCATTTGTTCAATATATAAGTCACTTTAGCACGGGTTTGGCAGCACGCTTTATTTTATTTCAGTCAGTTTTGGCAGAATGCAAGACGGTAAGCGATAGTGTGTTGCTTATTTTTTTTTTGCATTCAGTGAGCCAGTCATTTAGATGAGTTTGTGCAGCTTGGTTCACAGTAGTACTCGGCAATTTCGATTCTCGATTCTTTTTTTTTTTCTTTCTGTCGTTTGGGAGACAGTTTGATAAGTCATCATTCATGCAGATTTCTTGCAATCAGTCGATGGGAATGATGATTATCATCATGATACTAACTATAGTTCGTTCCTAGGATTTCTTGCATCAGTTCAGTTCAGTTTTGCTTTCGTTGTGTTGTCATAAAGTTCATTGTAATTGTATAAAGTCAAGTCATTCTAGTTATCTCTAGCACTTGCCGGGTTCGACAGCACGTCAGCACGTGAAGTGCAGAACGTACTTTTGCAAGCTTTGTTTCATTTCAAGTCACTTTCCGCAGAACGGAAGACGGGGTTGATATGATAAGGTTTGTTGCTTATTCTTTCATTCGATTCATCATTCACTTGCGTTCAGTGAGTCAAACAAGTTTCTCAGGTCTGTGTGAGTTTGAAGTTTGTGCAGCTTGGTTCTCAGCCAAGGTGAGAGTGAGTGAGTCACAGTTCACAGTCAAGCCAACGGATGTCATTGTTAATTCATTTTTATTTCTTCCTCTGTCGTGATCACTGTGGGGAAAATGAAGACGGTTCGATAAATCATCACATTCATTTTGATTTCTTTCAATCCTGATTGGTAGGGAAGTACGGTTTATTACTATTACTCTTATAATTTTAACTATAGTTCGTTCCTTGGATTTCTTGCATCAGTACAATCCTTAGTATGAGTACATATGAAGAGCATAGTATGCGGCATTTGAGTGACAGACAGCAGTACGTGGTCCTTTGTTCTTTATATTTTTCTTTATCTTGCATTATTATATGTCTGCAGAACATCATTAATAAACAGAAGCAAATGTATGTGATAATTTTTCACAGATTTCGTACCTGTTTCTCCATGGACGGCGGCAGCCGGAATTCAGTCCCCTGGCTGCAGTGCAATTACGGAGTGGAAAAGAGGGAACGACACAAATAACGTAGTTAGGGTTAGGCTAATGTGAGTCGCAGCGCGTGGTCTTGACACCATGTTAAACTCACTGTGTTTTGTGATTCTTGCCTTGTCCACTGCGTAATTGCACTGCAGCCAGGGGACTTAACTCCGACTAAGCGGCCGTCGCCGTCCAAGTAGCGACCGTTATTGCAAGGAGAACCGAAAATCATTCAAATTGCCAATGTTTTCTGTAAATTTGTCAAGCGCACACATACATTTTCCTCCCTTCCCATTCTCTGATCCATATGTATGTATGGACATGCTGACTTAGTGTGAGTTGGTTGGGGGCACTTACTGCATTGGGGGATTAAGGACAGAAGTATACCAGATAATTACCACTGTAATTGACATCATTTGACTGTTACAAATCTAGCGTGTGGTTATTTTCTTGTCATGCTACAGTTGTAACTTTTTTGGGGTCATGCTACACTTTTAACTGTCTACTTGTCATCTTTCTTCCTCATATAGTCCATGTCAGGTTTAGTGGTTAAGCCATCTGTCTGCCTTGCACTATGAAGGTTGGGGGTTCATTTCACAGCACCGCCATTTGGTTCACAAGTGCAAAGGTTTCGGAGATCTCTGAGTATCGTCGCCGGAGTTACGGAGGTCAGATTCTGTGCGATGCTCTTGGAAGGCAGCTATCTGTTCTGTGGAGAGGTTGATCCGTATAGGATAAAACCAGTGCAATGAAGTTGATCCTCTCACCTTTACCTCTAGTGGTCATCATGTCTTTTCACAACTTTCTGTCTCTGAAATTTTCAGTCAATTCTGACACAGATGATCTTCCATGCCAAGATGTCAAACTGCTCAACATCTTCTCTCTTTATCTACTTCTACCCCTTTCCCCCTCCAACTATCCTGCTGTCACGGTGTACTCGTTTTCCCCTTCTTATGATGTGACCAAAAAATGTAGATTGTCTCCTTCTGATGTGGGCTGTCAGTTTTCTTCATGAGCCAGTTTCTTTCAAGACATCTTCATCAGTCCAGGTATTTATTCTCATTATTTGTCTATAAAACTACGTCTCCATCGCTTCCAAATAATTGTTAACTGATTGTCAGACTTGAATGACTTCATAAATCAGAACATGATTTTTATAGCTTATCATCTTTTACTGTACTTTGTTATTGTTTTTCTTTTTTTTTTCTTTTTTACATCTTGTCTTAAATTGCAGTTTTTCTTTACCAGATTATTCCAAGCTTGGAGACAAGGTTATTGAAGGCAAAACTAAAATCGTTTATGATCTGCTTGACCATCCTGGCCAGGTGTTGGTCGAATCAAAAGATCGTATAACTGCAGGAGATGGTGCAAAGGCCCATGATTTGGCTGGAAAAGCCAAAATTTCAACTTCTACAGCTGTTACAATTTTTGAGTATTTAAGTGAAGCAGGTAATGTTTTTTTTTTTTTAAACTATGTAATTTCTTAAACAGGGTTGAATGCTAGGAAGTGTATTCTCGGAGGATGGGAGAGTAAATCAGAAAATAGTAACAAGAGGCCAATGAGCCAGTGCACTTATATACAAGCTCACATCTTTATTAAGTCATGCAAATAATTATGGGCACCAAGAAACAGATTATGAAAAGCATATTCATACCAGCTCTGTGCTCTCATTGCCAGAAATTAGCATTTTCAAAGGCTAACCTACGTAAAATTAACACTTGTGAAATGAGATGCCTGAAAAAGGCTGCCAACTTTACCATCCAAAACAAAGTTAGAAATTATATTATCAGACAGTCTGTAGGAATCACACCATCCAGCAAATTCATTGAGAAACAGAAGATATAATGGTTTAGTCATCTATTAAGAATGCAGCCAGAACAACTACCAATGCAAGCGCTACACATGAAAAGATCTGATCAGAGCACAAATGGACAGGGGGAGGGGGTAGAAATCTTTTAAACTCACTATACATTTATGTTTGTCCATGCTTATGTCCACAAATCAAGCACAGCAGATGCTTGGCAGGATTTGAAAATGCCAGAAATACTTTGAGAAAGGTTGGTGAAATGGCTACAAATTACATTTGTAGAAAACACGGCCAGTTTTTTATTTGTTGCCTTGCCTCCATATTGATTTCTTCAAAAGGCCAAAGTAATTTATTCTGCTGTGTAAGTTCATTGCTGTTGCTGTAAATATTAGCCATCAATTTACTATTTCAACATTTGCATTCGTCATCGTCTCCTATCTTAAGTTAATTGTATATGTTTCAGGCATCAGAACACATTTCATTAGGCAGTGTGGAGAGCGTTCCTTTGTGGCAAAGAAATGCTACATGATCCCCATTGAGTGGGTCACCCGAAGGGTTGCTACAGGCTCATTCTTGAAGCGCAATCCAGGTGTTAAAGAAGGCTATAGATTTTCTCCGCCAAAGTTGGAAACATTTTTCAAGGTACGCTGTGCTGTTATTTTTGTCTGAATGGCTGTAGAGAGATTTGTGGATGTTTGTAGAAGAGATATGGGGACATGTTCATGATCCTGCATTCACTGTTTGGTCTTTAGTGTGAGATGTTTGTCTTGGAGACAGATGATACACTTGTTTTCAAAATAAGGATTTTGTTAAAGTCAAGATGGTTGATTTCATTGCACCGGATGTATGCCGCTCTCTGCAGAATGGCTAGCCACCTCTCAAGGGCATCACACAAATTATGAACTCTGTAGTTAAAAACTGTGCCTGCGGAACATAACCTGCAAACTTCAAAGTACGAGGCATGACCACTTCACCAGGGTTACCATCATCATTATCAGGTGCCTTGCCGACTGGCTTGGGTGATCATGCCTCTCCATAATCTAAGATCTCCTGCAGCATGTATCAGTTTGGGTGCCGACACACCTCCATGCCATGCAACAAGACTGTCAAGCATCTTCTCTCGTTGTCTTCCTCTATCCCTTTTTCCACAGAGCTTTCCAGTGGTCACAACATGTTCTATTTTCCCTCTTCTCATAACATGGCCGAAAAATGATGACTGTCTCCTTCTGATGTCTGTGATAAGTTGTCTTCGGGCTCCCGCCTCTTTCAAAATCTCTTGGTGCTCAAGGGTTACCACCACTTGTATAATACAAAATAGTTTTGTGCTATAAAACAATTGTTCATTTTAGAGATCATCTTCATTGCACATCGGACAGACAACAAGTGCTCCGATCTCCTGAGTATGTCTGCAAGTGTTTTAGGCTAACAACTCCCATTCTGTTCTATTTGATGTAACGACCTTACCTGTGGCTTCCGCATTGTTTTCCTGTCTCGCGGATCCAATTCGTACACCCAGGATATGCAGTCTGTTCAGTTGAGAATCATTTCCACCGAAACTGAAAGCTTCACAACGTTTAGTCTCTCATATGGCATTGATGATATCTCTCCTATGCAAAGAGAGGCCTATTCCTGATAGTTGCTCTCTCATTGCTTTCATACCAGCATATGCTAGAGACAGATTAAGCGTCAGTCGTATGTTCTTTTCAGTTTTCTACTGTGATGTTGGGTTTACATCTCATACGTCACTCACCAGTGTGTTCACTGACCAAGAATCGTTTTCAGTATATGTCAACTGTTTGCAGGATGATGCCAACCACGATCCACAGTGGTCATTTGAACAGTGTCTGGCCTACGAGAAATCATTTGGTGGTGTGCTGATTGGTAGAAGTGAGCTAGAGATCATGGAGAAGATGACAGTTGTTGTTTTTGAAATACTGGAGAGGGCTTGGGCATCCCTGGACTGTAGCCTCATTGACATGAAAGTTGAGTTCGGAGTGGTTGAAGGCACAGGTAAGAGTGTGTTTGTATATGCATAAGTCACTTCTTTTGTGTGTGCAGTTTCTACAGAAAACATGTTGTTTAGTCAACCGCAACTTGTTGAAAGTTTAACCTTTTAAGCAGGCATTTTGATTCCCTCTGACTTGTATGCTGTTTTGAGTATACTGTCTTTTATTTGTGAATTGTCTTCTGTCTTGTGTCTACTGTCTTGTCCTGTGCACTGTTTTCTGTTCTTCCGGTATTCACTGACATATGTTTCTGATTAACTTGATTAGGGACAACACTGCATTCTCTCTTGGGGGCCCCAACATAATTGCTTACCCCAGGATACTTTTATCATGTTATCAGACTGTTTCTGGTGCGGTCTTAGTTAATGTAATTTTTTCTTAGTATTCTTGAAGTATAGTTTAGTACAGTGCCCTTTTCATGGTGGCATATTATGCTAGACAAAACAACACTTGATGCATCACCACACCGACCATCTTTACTTCCTCAGATTTTATCTTGTGTCCATTTTAGGCTTTGCCAGCCTGAATCCAAGACCTTTGGGTCAACTGACCATTGTTGAAATGTGAAAAGCAAACTATTTCACGGATGAAATACTGGATTTGTCTTCTGTCGATAGAAGACTTTGGATTTGTCTTTAGCTGATGAAGACTTCAGGTTTGTCTTTTGTTGATGAAAGACTTCAGGTTTGTCTTTTGTTGATGAAAGACTTCAGGTTTGTCTTTTGTTGATGAAAGACTTCATGTTTGTCTTTTGTTGATGGGAGACTTCATTTGTGTCTTTTGTTGCAGGAGAAATTGTTCTTGCTGACATCATCGACAGTGATTCATGGAGGTTGTGGCCTTCAGGAGACAAGCGTCTGATGAAGGACAAGCAGGTGTACAGAAACCTTCAGGAAGTCACAGCTGAAGCCTTGGACACAGTCAAGCGTAACTTTGAGTGGGTGGCAGAGAAAGTTCAGGTAATGGAACCCTACAGCTGTATTTCTAGTCATCATCGTGTGCTGTGCCAGTAATTGTAAGCTTCACCATCTCACACGATCGCCAGAATCACAAGTTAGTTCCATGTTTTAGTCTCGCCCCCATCCATCTGGCTAGCACATCATTGTTTTTACCTGTTTGCCTTCCTGTTGCCCAGTGCAGCAAAGCCGTGCATATGATATCACAATGTCTAGTGTGAGAATGGAGATGGAGGAAGTCTCTGCCGCCTTCCGCTGGCTTGAGAATCAGCTGTAAACACATGTTGTGGTTGTAACTGACTCACAGAGCATGCTGAGAAAGGGGAAAACAGGCATGCTTCGTGCAGAGTGGCAAGCATCACTTCAGAGGTCCCGGGTAGCATCCTTTGGATATTTTCTCCAGGTGATGTCGGTGTGTTGGGAAATGAGCAGGCAGATAGACTGGCTGGCTCTGCACCATTTGGTGGTGAATTGATGTCTGACAAGTTAGATATTGTTAATGATATTTAGGAACGAGTGAACAGTGCTGCCACACAGATAGATCATTGCGATCTAAGGAGAATGGCACTGCGAGAAGTTACCAGGGGATCTGGCTGATACCAGAAAGGAAGGGTGAGACAGTTACTGGTACCATCGGAATGTGAACTCTTTGCTTGCTGCTGAAGATGGGGACTGAGCCCTTATTGGAGTGTCCTGAGTACTGTGATGTTGATTCCTAATTCAACATTTTTCCTGTTGCTCGCTTTCCACAGATCTTGTCAGTTGTTAGTTCTCGAGTACATTCCTTCTCATAATATATCCCCCCAAAATATTGACGGTCTCTTATTGAAGTATTCAGTTTAGACCTTTGTCTGTCTCAATGATGACAGCTTCATCTGTTGTGGTTTTTCTGTCCTTTCTAATAGTTACTATAATTATTGTCTGTAACAAAAAGGACACAAGTTAGAGATTTCCTCCTGCAGAACACTTGAATTTTGTAGTTTTAGGCTGGCTGTTGTGTTTGTATGTTGCCTGTTGGAGAATAATTAAACAAAACTTTGGAAGAAGGTGTCACAGGCGTCCTAAACAAGATCAGTGTTGACAGATTATATTAGAAATATGCACGAGGCCGCTACGATTTTAGTGCGAAAATATTGATGAACGTGCACAAAGAAGTTTAGTGCTAGTTTCACTTGATATAAAACAACCCTCTACTGCATTGTTATAATACACAAAGCCTCTTTTGGTTTTTTCTGGTGGCATACAACGGTACTCAGTCCCTGTGTCATTTGTTTTTCCAGCACTATTATATTGTAATAAATTCTTTGTGGTGAGTACCTGCTACTTTTTTTTCTAGATGAAAATCCTGATAACACATGTTGCCCAAGTTACTTGCTATGACTGCAGCTTATCAGTGGGAAAATAGGACATATGCTTCAGTGTCCAGGCACATGTTGTGATCACGCTTCACACAGTCTGTGAGAGTGAAAATGTCAGTCGTGTGACCTGTCGGGTGTTGCGTTTTGCGGAGATGTCTTGCCCTGGAGTTGCATCAGTGATACCGGCTCGTTTTGTTGCTGCATAGGTGTCCATAGTGTCAGCAGTCCACTGCTTATTGTACAGAACTGATAAGGTTGTTTTCCTTGTGGCACCTGCTTGTGACTACATTCTTCTACTCTGTATTGCAGATGCAGTTAAATTGTTGCATCAGGATCTTAAATTATTTCCCTCTTTACCACCACTGTAATCTTGTTTGTCCCTAAAGAGGCTGTTGGCACTTTATATGGTGGGTTACAGCTAGGCTGAGTATCTGCACCTTTGTTAGGGCGCAGTTATTTTAGTAATAAGGTGACCATGCGCTCCATCTTGAACACGTCTTTGTTTTTTTTTTTTTTTTTTTTTTTTCAAGTTGTGTTTCGATCTTCCCTCCCTGCTTCATAAAAATACGCATTGTCCCATTTGATAAAAGTCTAGAAGTTGGCTTAAGAATAGAACATACACTTCTAGTTATTTGTAGAAATGTTTAGGTACTTTTAGTGATAGACATAAGATGATTTTTATTATAGCATTTATTTCCTCGCCAGTACGGTTAAAGAACGCATTGTTTCATTCAGTTTTGGGCGACTATGGGTTGATCTAATAACATTGAGAAGCAAGTAGTTAAACTCTTTCTTTCACCCTGCTGATCAAGAAAAAAAGGTGTGGTGGGGGTTGAATTGACTTGCTGGGGATGTCCCATTTCCAGCCCAAGATATAAGGTCACCCTATCTAGTGAATGTGGTCCCGGAACTCACGTGGAGAAACTTCCAGCTCCAGTTGATAGTAACCAAAACAGAAATAGCCATTCCCAGCTTTGCACTAATAATCATATTCTTTGTATGTGTTGACACAGTTGATCAAGACCAAACCCAAGGGCCGTGTTGTGGTGCTAATGGGATCCGATACAGACACCCCACACGCAGAGAAGATCCGTTCTGTGCTGCAGTCTTTAGGTATTCCCTGTGAGCTTCGAGTCACGTCTGCTCACAAACAGACGGACCAGACGTTGAAAATTCTGGCAAGCTATGAAGGTTGGAAACACATTGTTTCATTTGATTTGTTTCATATTATTATTCAACTATCTCATTTGCACTATATTAGCACCTGATCCTGTCAGTGGTGGATTATGGCCTGGGAATGCTTACCGTCTCAAAGAGTCAGATGGACAAACCTAGAGCGCATTCAGAACTCGGCTATGCGGGTCATTCTGGGTTTGCACCCTTGAGAACATTAGGCGAGGAAAAGAGTGGGTCAAAGTGCCATCTGAACAGTCAGACTTGTGTAGAGTCATAATCACGCTGAGCCGGGAATGCAGAGACTGGCCAGCAGGTGCCACAGAAGTGGAAATTCAGCAATTAATTCAAGATAATGCTTGCTCAAAGGATTTGATCATTTACACAGATGGTTCAGTGTCAAGAGGCAAAAGAAATGCTTGAGGCTTCTTAGCAAAAGCTAATGGTCGACGTTTGGTGCAGGAGGGCCTAGCATATGACACCACAACATCCAACTTAAGAATGGAGGTGGAGGCAGTCACTGCAGCTTTCCACTGGCTAGAGAACACGACACACACACACATTGTAATTGTAACTGAATCAGAAAGCATGCTGAGGAAGATCAGAACAGGTATTCTTCGTGCAGCGTGGCATGCTTCGCTGCGTAGGACACTGGTAAGTAGTAGTCTGGATTTTTTCGCCGGATCACGCTGGTGTGTTGGGAAATGGATAGGCTCGCTGGCTCTACACAACTTGGTGGAATACTGATACATGATAAGGCCTTGTGGGAGAGCGTGTACAGTTCGGAGGAGCAGATGGATCACCAAAGTCTGGTGAGATTGAAGCAGCGGTGAATGACGCAAGGTTCTGGCAGATGCTTGAAACTCAGAGGAAAGGCATGACGGAAGTTTAATCAGAATGCTGCTGGTACCATTAGTATTGGAACTCTTATCTGGCTGCTGAAGATGGGGACGGAGCGCTTGTGAGAATGCCCCAAGTGCTGTGATGTCGGTTCTTGAATCAAATCAATCAAATCATTTGCACTGTGACCTGTTGACATTGCTGGAATCTTCTGTTACCTACTAGATATGTATGAACATTCTTTATGCCATGTACATCTCTTCCTATATCAAGAAACAAACCATATGTAATCATCTATTGTCTCTACATATCAAGCACTAGATGGTGTGTAATGACTTCATATACTTTTGATCAGAAAATACTTAAGAAATCTGACAGAATATTTTAAAATGCAGCACATAGCTTGCCAGTTTAAAAGTAGGAAGCTAATGCCATTTCACTATGGTTATTGTTTCATTTGGGTTGTCTTTTTGAAAACCATGGACTGAAAGAGATATTTAAACACATTTTTGTTTATTTTTTTATTAACTGCTTCTTTCTTCCCACTTTGTTTTACTTTACAGTAGAAACTGTTTTCATGTAAATTTAAGTTCAGTTCAGTGTAGAATCGAACCTAATGCCTTATAAGCTACAATATTGAGTATGTATAAAAGTCAGATACAGGGAGCGGGTCTAGAGAGACTGAATAAACAATTAAAGAGTTCCTGAAAGGAATCAAAAAGGGGCTGTTGAAAAACCACATTAAAAGACAACACTTTTTCGAAAACTAAGTTGGTTAGACCAGGTGACAAAACTCCTTGTGGTCCGAGTTCACGCTCAGGAGTAGGCAGAGAAGCCACGTGTTTCCCAGATTTATAGTATTAATCATAGCATCAAGGCTAAAGTGTTTACAACTCATGGTTTCTGCATTTTTTTTTTTAAAGTACTGGAAGGAAATGTTGATGGCAAGAGATAGACAAGGATGCAGGTAAGGGGACACCATGAAGAGATGGATGAGCAGCTATCTGAGAGAGTGTACTACCAAGACAAGAGTGTGTTGGGAGTCCATTGCTTCCTTCATTGTGGAGGTGGCACCTGATTGATTAGATATATGTGCATACCATTATGTGCGCTAAGCCATTCATTTCTATCATTTATTTGTTCATTATTTATAGGTGAGGGCATTCCAACAGTGTTCATTGCTGTGGCTGGCAGAAGTAATGGCCTGGGCCCTGTCCTGTCTGGCAACACTGTCTGGCCAGTGATTAACTGTCCCCCTTTGACCCCTGACTGGGGAGCAGAAGATGTTTGGTCAAGCCTTAGAATGCCATCAGGTAAGTCATTCACTTGTTAGTACCGGGGATGGGGGGGGGGGCTGACATCGCTCCCTTAGGAGCTGACATATATAATTTCTTTTTCGTGTTTTTGTGCGTATGGAAAGTTCTGGTAGTTCATCCACTTCTGGACTTTAATCTTAATCCGAAACCTGGGTTTTACGTTTACATCTATTTTATAGTTCTGGCTTATTTGTGTGGAGGCTCTTGGTTCCTCGCCTCTCAGGCATATGCCCTCAGACTTTAAAGGAAAAATCCCTGATTAGTTTACAACTGTTACAGCAGGCTTGTTAAAAGGACATTGCATCTATCCTCCCTCCAAACCCACACAGAGGTGGGCAATTTGAAGAAAAGATAATTGACTTCTTTGCTGCACTATTTTTATTTCTCCATCCTTCCGGTTGTGTGTTCTGGGGTCCCATTGTCAGGGGCTGAAGTACAATCTGGAATCACATTCAGTTTTCAGAGTGTAGCATGTGAATACGAAATCAGACGGATGCTAGGAATAAAGCCAGTCTTACAAGTCATCAAAGAACAACAAATGAAGTGGTTTGGACACCTAACAAGAATGCCCTGGTACTATCTGCCACTGCAAGCCACACTAAAATCGTTAAATGGGTATAGAGTGAGCGGAAGACCTTAGAAAATATGGAGTGATGGCATTAAGAACAGCCTTACAGAAATCAACATCAGTCTTAATAGTGCTCTTGTCAGAGCTCATCAACGAATGTTACATCCCCCCCCCCCCCCCCCCCCCCCCCCCCCCCCCAACACTTCGATAAGGTTTAAGGTGGAAGAGATGAAGATATAGAATAGTATGCGGCTTAACCATTTTATCACCAAGATCCCTAAACCTCAGTTGTTGTTTTTCCCCCCATTTTAGATATGAGTTGTAGCTGTCTGTTTCTACATTTGTTCCATCTTTTATGAGGAGGGGATTAACTTTGGGGCTGCAGGAGATTTATTTTCTTGATAGACCGACCGTGAACCCTTCGTCTCCTATTAACTTTGAAAAAGGTCTTTGAGTTTGATTCTTAGTCATGTGATCCTAGCATAATTTGGTTTCTCTTTTTCCGCAGGTCTGGGATGTTCCACTGTCATCCAGCCTGATGGAGCAGCTCTGGCTGCAGCCAACATTCTAGCTCTCAATGACCATGTCGTCTGGGGCAAGCTACGAGCCAGGCAGGTCAACACTTGGGTCAGCCTTGTACAGGCCGATCAGAAGATCCGGGATGACCACTAGTGCGACAGCTTTTGTTTTTGTTAATGACTTTTCATTTTGTTGTTAGTCCGGATCTGGAGAGTGGTTTCATTTCACTGTTCCAGCCATGTGTTAGAAATTATACTAACATTAATGTAAAGTAAGCTACAGCTAATATTTGCCTATGATCATTAATGTGAAAGCAATAACAGCTTAGATTTAGGGGAGGGGGGGGTTAACTGTTCTGGCAGGGATTTGTGTAAGGTACTTCACAACAAGCGTATGAATTTTTTTTGTCGTGCTGAAGAATTTAGTGGTGCGTATGCATCCTGGAATATGTGGCAGTCCATGTATGGGTAGCAGGCATAGGTATAGTGAGAACAAAAGAGAAGATGTAGGGCAGTTTGGCATAAGGAGATGACAGAACATCAGTGTCAGAAGCTAGGAATGATTACAATTACCAATAGCACCCACCCATCATGGCCTATAAGCTTCCCTCATAATTTTCACTTGGGTATTACATGTCATTGTGAAACTAATAAGTAGCACAGCTCTACAACACATATGTAATTGCTTATTCTTGTGTTGTTGCATTTATTTGCTAATTTAGTTGTTTATAATTAATTGTGTGGCTGAAGGACTGAGGTGCTGAGAATAATTTGTTCATGTGTTCAGTTTGCACAAAATTAATACACTGAACTTGGCATTTTGGAGAATCCTTTTATGTTAATTGTGTTTTGATAGTTTATATATACATGATGACAACGGTGTTGTTTGTTATAGTTTAATTTTGTTTAAAGATGTAGTTCTTTGTCTGCAATGCAACGTGACTGACTGCATGTATGTTTCATCGGCACACAACTATTGTTTGGCAGTATTAACACTTTTTCATGGTTGGTTGGCCTTTGTGGCTATAGTGTTTTACAGGATGAGGTAGCCAACCCTTTCCTTCATTGCCTCTACAAGCGTTTTTTGGTGGGTGCATTTTCTTATTCTTGTTTCCTTGAGGTAAGTGAAAGAAGATGGGGAGGATATATTGGTTGGACTGCAAAGGATATTGACAACTAGGCATGAGTTGGTTGGCAGCCTATGCTTCATTAGTGAATAAAGTGTGGTAAAGGATTCAGAAGTAATTTTAATGCCCTTTTTTTTTTTTTTTAGCAGTCAACGCTTGCCACAGTCAGGCAGACGGGCATCTCTGGTGCAGACAACACAAGCTGCAAACATGTATTAAATAGTTGTTATTCTGCAAATTATATATTGATGACTAGTTTCATGTGTGTTGTTATCCTCCCTCATTTATGTATGATTATTTCTTATTTACTAACCTATGGATGCGAGAGCTGGAAATCAACGAAAACTCTAAGACACAAAATTAGACAGTTTTGAAAATAAATGCCTTAGAAGAATACTAAATTTCAAATGGTCAGATTTCCGAACCAACACACAAATAAGGCAAGAATCCAGGCAAGAGTATGTGTCTAATTTTATACGAAAACGCCGCTGGAACTATGTCGGCCACGCCCTTAGAATGGATAAATCAAGACTTCCTTACCAAGCCTTCATTTGGACACCACAGGGGAAAAGATCTCGTGGAAGACCAAGGAAAACCCTACGTAGAACTATCATCAGGGAAGGCTCGCTCATGGGCCACTCAAACATCCAAGACCTACAACAGATTGCAACGAACCACCATGCATGGAGAATCATGACCTCTGCCCTATGTGCCGCACTCGACACAAGAGGAAAGACTAACTAACTAATTTACAGCATTTCTACCTCTAGGTGGCCAACTTGTTTTGTTATTGTTGAATGTATCTTGAATTTCCTGGAGAAATGCTGATTAAATATTGTATTGTTTCTGTGGGTATTGTTCATTTCTGTTTTCTAAAGTAGCACAAACTTGGCATACACATGGTTGCAACTGCATTAAATCTTTAGGCTTGAATTGATGTTCGCAACAACTGTGAGCTGCAGTTCTGGCAGGGGGACTGTTAGTGTTGGCACAAATGATAATTGCCTTATGCAGTTTGGAACACTTATTGGGCAAGCATCTGCAATGATGTTGGAACCTCCACTAACTTAACAACCTCCACATCCTGAAAAAAAATGGATAATACAAACATATTTTCTTTTTAAACACTTGGGAAATAAAAACCGCGCTGAAGCAGATCAAGCATCATTGATTTATTGTTAGAATTGGCACATGGCCACATCCATCTATCATCTGTACAGGTGAAACCTTATATAATCACAGCCAGAACTTTCATGCAGTGTTTCATCCATTCCAGCAGTCAGTATGTTTGTTAATGGTGGGTGGGTGTATCAGTGTTCACTGTGACTAAGTCATCCAGGGATACCTATTGACTATTAGTGAAGGTTTGACTTTTGATGGAGAGATAATATAAAGGTTTGACTGTTGGTAGGACAGTGGATGGTTGTTTGACTGTTAGTGAAGAAAAAAAAAGGGGAGGGGCAGTAATTGTTGACTATTGGTAGATGGACAGTGATTGTACTGTTGGTGAGAAGATTATGGAGGGTTGACTGCTGGTGAAAACATATATATATATATATGATGACGACGACCCTTATATAAATTTGTGTTTACATTCAGGACAACACATTTTTTCAGCATTTAGTCTTACATGAGATGTTGTTCATTTACACATAAATCAGCACCTTAGAAACATTTATCCACAGTATTGTTCAGCATCCATTCACATATCAAATATCTGGAGCATTTATACAGAAGGTGAAATTTTACCATTTTCCTCCCCATGAGAGACTTTAACACTCTTGAATTTGATGCTGTTAAGACATGGCAGATGTTAGTAACAGTCACAAAATCTGAGTAAAATAAGCCACACAAACAGCTACTGAATCTACCGTGGTACATATTAGTATTGTCACAGCTTCCCCCCTCCTCATAAAACGGTACCGGTACTCAACAAAGTGTCTTTTACAGTATAGCTAAAACAAATGAGACCTAACACAAAAGTGCCTGTACCGCGCACCATTGTGTATACCAGGCAAAAGGTCCTGTGTATTGTTCTTTCAAGTACATCTGTGTATTGAAGGGAATTTCCACAGGGGTTTCCTAAGGACTATAAGTCTATAAAGATATCATAAGTGGGGATTACGTGACAGGGGCTTCCTAAGGACTGTATAAATCTAAAGATATAAGTGGGGATTACGTGACAGGGGCTTCCTAAGGACTGTATAAATCTAAAGATATCATAAGTGGGGATTACGTGACAGGGGCTTCCTAAGGACTGTATAAATCTAAAGATATCATAGGTGGGGATCACGTGAGAACATGAAAACACAAGGTTCTTGAATAGTGATAGCATTAAGAACCCAGGAGTTTAAAGGATGAGACAAATCTCTTGTCATTTGCTGTTTCGCAGCCAGAGTGAAAGGCTGTGTTCGATAGGAGCGTGAACGTGATATTGTATAATTGAAACGTGGAGGAAATTTTTAATCTTCAAGTTGACAGCCTATCCATAGTTAAATCAAATCGTCAATTAACCTGATAAGGTTATGTATGTCTGATAATGCACATGATCAAACTGTGTTGTTACAAGATATTTGGTGTGCTAGCCAGTCATCACTTTCAGCTAGCCATAGGGATCTCCCTGTCAGATTTCATTGTTCATACATAACTATGAGGCGCCAAATCTATTATGGCATCGTGATAGCTACTTGCCTGCTTGTTTCTCCTCGTGCTGGTTGCTTGTCTTCCAAACCATAGCATCTCCCTACCTGCGTTGTTCCTGTTGGCATGTGTCTACCTGCTTCATGTTTGGCCATTATTACCTACCCACCTCATGTTGCCACCTAACTCCCTTGTGAAGACGGCTCTTCGGTACTTCTCGGTCTTATGTTAGCACCTTCATATCTAACTACCCCTTGTTAGTATCTAGCCACTTACCAGCCTAACTGTTGGCACCTTACTATCTAACTACCCCTTGATAGTATCTAGCTACCTACCAGCCTAATGTTGGCACCTTACTTTCTAACTACCCTGAATTAGTATCTAGCCACTTACCAGTCTTATGTTGGTACCTTACTATCTAACTACCCCATTTTAGTATCTAGCTACCTACCAGCTTCATGTTGGCACCTTACTATCTAACTACCCCTTGATAGTATCTAGCTACCTACCAGCTTCATGTTGGCACCTTACTATCTAACAACCCCGTGTTAGTATCTAGCCACTTACCAGTCTTATGTTGGTACCTTACTATCTAACTACCCTGTGTCAGTATCTAGCCACTTACCAGTCTTATGTTGGCACCTTACTATCTAACAACCCCGTGTTAGTATCTAGCCACTTACCAGCCTCATGTTGGTACCTTACTATCTAACTACCCCATGTTAGTATCTAGCTACCTACCAGCTTCATGTTGGCACCTTACTATCTAACTACCCCATGTTAGTATCTAGCTACCTACCAGCCTTATGTTGGTACCTTACTATCTAACTACCCCATTTTAGTATCTAGCCACTTACCAGCCTTATGTTGGTACCTTACTATCTAACTACTCTATTTTAGTATCTAGCCACTTACCAGCCTTATGTTGGTACCTTACTATCTAACTACTCTATTTTAGTATCTAGCCACTTACCAGCCTTATGTTGGTACCTTACTATCTAACTACTCCATTTTAGTATCTAGCTACCTACCAGCCTCATGTTGGCACTTTGCTACCTGTCTACCTCATGTAAGCACATTACTACCTGCCCCGTGTTGGCAATTTGCTCCTCCCTTTCTGCCTCATTTTGCTACCTCTGTTTTGCCTTATGTTGGCATTTTGCTGCCTCCCATTCTCCCTCAAGTTGACGCTTTGCTACATTCCTGTCTGCACTTTGCTGCCTCATGTTAACACTTTGCTACATTCCTGTCTGCACTTTGCTGCCTCATGTTGTCACTTTGCTACCTCCCTGTCTGCCTCATGTTGACATTTTGCTACCTGCTCTGTACCTCATGTTGACATTTTGCTACCTCCCTGACTGCCTCATGTTGACATCTTGCTACCTGCCTCTCTGCCTCATGCTGACATTTTGCTACCTCCTTGTCTGCCTCATGTTGACACTTTGCTACCTCTCTGTCTGCTTCATGTTGACATTTTGCTACCTCCCTGTCTGCCTCATGTTGACACTTTGCTACCTCTCTGTCTGCCTCATGTTGAAACTTTGCTACCTCCCTGTCTGCCTCATGTTGACATCTTGCTACCTGCCTCTCTGCCTCATGTTGACATCTTTGCTACCTACCTCTCTGCCTCATGTTGACATCTTGCTACCTCCCTGTCTGCCTCCTGTTGGCATATTGCTACCTGCCTCTCTGCCTCATGATAACAGCTACCTAACTGCCTGCCTCGTGTTCGCACTTTGCTACCTACCTTATATTGGCACTTTTTAGTCTGCCAACCTCATTTGTAATCAGCACCTTGTCTCGGAAACTTTTCTCTTTTTAAGTCATTTCAAAATCTTGGATGGACTGGAAAGAATAGTAGCAGAAGGCATGGTACAGGGAAAGAGGGGGAGAGGTTGACCAGTACGAAGATGAAGACAGGATGTAAGTAGTACCTTGTATATGAAAGTGCACGAGGTGGAAGACGTTTACACAGATTGCTGTTTTTTTTTTTTGACATTATTTTTAGCCTAAAGTTTACAAGTGGACGAACCACCAGAACTTCCTGCCGGAGTTTACAGCGAAAAAGAAGAAATTGTACGTTTACATTAAAACATTGGTATCAAAACGCCTTGATGAGGCACTGAACTCTTCTGAAGAAGTTGATGCAAACAACAGTGGGCAGTTGCTACAATGCTGGTTCCATAAGTGTGTGTATGCACTGTCTGTTGATGGATGTTGTAAATTACACAGAAGGAAGAGTTGTGTACACTGAAGTGGCAAGCCCATCAGGCAATAGATCGTAAATTGCTCCTCCCCATAACGCTTAACACAGAAGTGGAAATTGATGTTGATGTGGCCAGCACACCATTATTGTGCCCATAATAAACCCTATCTAAAAATATGTGATGTAAAATCAAGAGAGCAACCAAGGAGAAGATAGACATTACAAAGAAGATAACATTAAAGACATTTTACATCTGCACAGAATGACAATAGCCAGTGCTATCCACCGAGGGCTGGAGTGAAAACCTTTTCTCCCCATGACGCTTAACGACAAAAATGGAATTTGATGATACTGAACTCCAGGTCGACAACAAGTCAAATGATCTGGCCATTAACCAGATTGGCATCAGAAAGTGCACCACAGAGAGCAATGTTATACAGATACAACGGTAACAGATCCAGAGGTCGACCACGCAGAACATAGATCGCAGCAATATCCGAGACATTGAAATTACTTTATACAAAGCGAACAGAAGGGCCCGTTCCAGACATCTTTTCTTGCCCTGACGCTGCAAAGGCATTCCAGGAGTAGTTAAAAAAAAAAAAGATGAGGCTAAAAGAAGTGACTATTCGGTTGCAAATTCCAAAAATCCAGTTTAACTCTATAAAACAGTCGTAATGGGTTACTTTACGCTTATGAAGTAACACCAGGACCGGAGTTAAACTTGACGAGGCCCTAAGATATAAAATACTGAGGCCCCTGTGGTTTTAAATTACACTAGCTAACTTAAAAACACTTCACAATATATACGCCTTTTGAATATACCGATAATGTAAATATAGTATCGTTTAATTTTTAGTTAAATAAATAATAAAGGGTAGAAGCAGAGAAATACAATCCTTATAAAAAGCTGTATTAAATAACGATTATATTTCAAATATATTAAAACAAAATTGCATTTGTAAGAGAGAACAATATAAATCTGCTGAGGCCCCTGCATATTGTGTTGCCCTAAGGTGTAGCTCATTTTGGTTAAACATGTATTCAGCACTGAGTAAAAGATGGTCTGCAATGTCAGTGTCCACACACCGCCTCGCCGAAAGTTGGCTGGACATGGATTTGTTTCGTTCCTAGCACTAAATCAAAAACTTCTGGGTCCGTTTTATTTTCAGATGAGAATTTGAATTTTTGTACAGTACTGCTTTCAGAAATAGTGCAGTTGAAAAGAATGTTTATTTCGCCTCTTCTTCTGCTGATGATGATGCTGTTGCTTCTTATTGTTGTTATCAATACAAGCTAGCTATTGTCATTACGTCTTTATACAGCCGTTTGTCTCAAGTGCTGCCAATCACATCTGATATAGTTGTTTATCCGTGCGATAATAACAATCTACGACCAGCTCGGCCTAACAAAACGGGGATTTCCGTAGACCTGTTCGGCCTTACTACTGGAGCTGGCCGTGGTGACAATCGAACATCTTCTCTGGTGGTTCCTCCTTGCCCCCAACACTCAAACTTTCATATTGTCAAGATTTGCTGTAGTTATTCCTTCCCTGGTGTGTCGAATGTCCAAAAGAATAAAGATTGTTTTCTACTGATGCAGTGACCAGTTATAATAATTTCTTTGCGATCGGTTTTATACGTTCAGGCTATCATTTTCGTTGCCTCCATGAACCGGTCCGTCAGCAGCAAATATCTAAGGCTTCCCCAAAGTTTGCCCTGAATCCCGCTTCCCTGTGGCTATGTGTTTTCTTGCAGATTTTGCTGCAGGTGTCAGTGTTTGATCCGAGCACTCATAAACTTATCCGGTGTATGATGAGATCTATTAACTAACATACATTATAACTGTAGCACTGGCAGCATTCTAACAAACCACTTACGTTCAATATACCAAATTCTTGTCCGTGTAAGGGGCATCTGTAATTTATATAATGCCAGTTACGCAGAAATACGCCGCTCACGCAAAAACTGACGCGTGAGAGGTGACAGTCATTGTCACGCATACTCAGTCAACAGAGAAGCGATCGGGAGGAAAATATAACGTGATACGCTCTCCAATGTAATCATTACCTGCTAACGCTTACATGTGCGAATTGATCACGCCTCCCGAAGATATATATAATATATATATATATAATATTTAAAATGCAGTCCTGCCAACGTGTTATCTTTTTATTTTTCCGAATATTTCTGGTAGCAGTTTTTGCAGCTGCTTGCATCTCACACAATCCCACTTATATGGCGCCTATGGGATTGACATTTCAGCTGTAACAGAAATACTTTGAAAGATATGTGGATACATTTGGTGGGAAAGTGCGAACGTGCCACACCGTAAGGTGACCGTAATAACTTGAGCTGAAACCGGGAAACTCAGTTAACATTTTGAGCTGAAAACAGGACACTCTAAGTAAATCGATCTAATCTCCCCCCTTGTTTTTCCTGTTTTGCTCTTCCCTAGGTCATCGAAATAAACGTGTTAATTACTGGTCGACAATTAAAACAGGAGTCTTTGCCGCCAAGAAATGAACGAAACAATGTGCTATTTACTGCTAGGGGAAAAGCATGTTACAGTGAAAATTCCCATAAACACATTTCAGGCATTACAAGTATCTAAAACTGTGAAATCTTATGAAGCTTTACAGTCTTTTCAGATATAACTGCAAATGTTTGTTCTATTCTCGAGCTCATTCGTAGATTTTTATAAAACGGGACAAATGGTGACTTTTTAGGGGTACTGACGAGATGGCAGGGACACACCGAAAAAAAAAAACCGGGACTGTTCCGGTGAAAACGGGACATATGGTCACCCTATCGATACAGTTTTTTCACTAAAATGTAACTCTACTCTTGATTACGAGTATGATGGCTGTTGCTGGCTGCAAGCTCGGACAAGCAAACAAAACAGGAACACGGGCAGACGATCTCTTATCTTCTCTGTGTCTCTCTCTCATCCCCTGGCTGATCGGCTGCTTGTTCTATTATATGTCCCGCCCTTTTCCGTGAGCGGTTTGCGACCCGCGTCCTCTGAACAGTCTGGAAGCTCTGTCGAGGGCTGACGTCTGTTGAAAAGATGAAGACAATAAACATGTCTTGAACAGTGGTACCGACAAAAGAACTTACTTGGAACAACGGTGCTCGGCACACTTACCGTATGCTTTAATGCTTGTGAATGCTGCTAGATATGCTGAGACAGCAGTCTGTCAGTCTTCCCACAAGGAACTGGGATAAACATTCTGTGTCTTTTTCGTTGGCACAGGAGCGGAGCAAAGATGGGGTGACCCGTTAGCTATGAAGCTGAAACTAAGACTACCAGACTTACCTGACGCAGAAGTAGTAAACACTCAGGAATTATGTCTTTGGCTGTATCTCACTCTCTTCTCTCTCTCTCTCTCTCTCTCTCTCTCTCTCTCTCTCTCTCTCTCTCTCTCTCTCTCTCTCTCTGACTCTCTCATCCAGACTGTCGTTTATTTTGTGTCTGTGTCTCATGCCCATACAAGCTCATTCTATCTCTCACACATTCTTCATCTCCCCCCACCGCCCACTCTTCCCCTGTCTCTTCAGTCTCAATCTCACTGCATTTCGTAATCTTATACCCGCACACACACACACACACACACACAAAACCATAAACACAAGTAGATGTTGGCGACCTTGACCCGACTACGCACGTGAATATAACCTACCGTCATGACCTTGATGCCGGTAGAATTGTGCGCGGGTCTGGACTCACGTCGGAAGGTGTTCAGTCCGTGTGACCCATTTAGTCTCGAGTCCGCCACAAACGAAGTATCCACCTGACAACAGATCAGCAAATAAAGTAAGTAAAGATGCTTTTACACGCCAGTGGCGTATCGGGCGTCTGAGGCTACAATCATATTTTTATAGATCAGTTGTCACCTAGTTGGGTGATGACGTCATCATCACTCCTGCCGCCTTGGGTGGTTGGTAAGGTTGGGTGACCAAGGTCACGTTTGGGGGGGGGGGGTCGACCAAGGGGGGGGGGGGGGGAAAAAAAAACTATCCAGCTCCATGATAATTTAAACCCATGACATTCGGATCCGCAGGAGAGCGTCCACCACGGCGGCCCCCGAGAACAGATAATGTCTCCGTCTCCATCTTCAATAGCCAAGACAGAGTTACAATACCAATCGTGTAAGTAGGTCTCTGATTATACGTCCGTCTTGCCTCCCCTCGTCACTCCTCGCTGTATCGCTCTCACCAGATGGTGATTATCTACTCTTCCGAATTGTACGCATTCTCCTAACACAATGTCCTAACCACGTCTTCCTTATCATGCATCCAAATTCCACCAGGTGGTGCAGAGCCAGCAAGTCTGTCCGCCTGTTTCATTTCTCAACACACCGGCATAACCCGCGGAAAAGATCCAGACAAAGTTCCCTCACACGTAACCTCCGAAGTGAAGCAAGCCACTCTGAACGACAGAGGCCTGTCCACCCCTTCCTCTGCATGCTTTTTCAGCCAGTTAAATCAGACACCGAGAGTAATCCAACAGTTTATTTCAAACAACTATAATAGTAGATATGATTCAAAAACGATACTTTGTCGTGTTAAGAAATCTTGACTATCTGGGCAGACTATGAAACGCAACATTTATTTGTATTAATGTAAGCAGTGCTCATCCGTAGTGAGTGTTTATATTTTTGTAGGGTGGCGCCCTTCTAATCTTAAACAACATGAAATTCAAACCGGTCCCTCGCGATCAGACCCAACCCCCCCCCCCCCCCACCCCAACCCCCCCCATTTTTCAAGTGTTGATAAGGGCACATGCCATACGCTACACAACTGGACATGCTGGCGTAAAGGGTATTAAGCGAGTGGACCAACTGGCAAGCAATGCACCAACGCATGCCACAAGAAGCAGGGACAGAGCAGATATAATCATTATGTGGACTGGACTAGTGGATAATGACGAATCTCTGACACTTAACACGATTGAAAGACATGGAAGAAGCATGTTGAAGCACGTCTATGCCGCCTTCGAGGTCGAAATAGGAGACATTATAACCAAGTTCTCATGGGAACAATTAGTAGAACAGCCGCGGAGTGGCTGCTGCATCGGAGGAGTGAACACGCATGTGAATGAAAGCTATGCAGTGACGTCGACTGTGATAATATAACATAACATAGCTATACCATAGATACGCCACGGAGCTCATCCAGTGCGTACAGGCAACAAACAGAAGGCAACGTACCGCTATCCATCGATGTTCCAACACTTGTGTGGCCGACAGGCGTAGCTCTGGGTTGACTTCTAGCATGGTGGAGATTACATTCTGACAGGGGAGAGAGAAGCAGTCTTACAGTAAATAATTATACGTCACAAAACTAGACGACGCTGCAACGTCAACCCCGTCTTCTTATGCACGATATCACAAGCAGCACGTCGTCTAGGGACCAAAACCGCAACCCCGACTTCACTGACTCATTGATAAAATGGATTCAAGGTCCCATGGCAGATCGTGTGACTCAACCCACTGTCCCAAATAATTGATGGATTGGACTCAAGGATCTTCCCCATGTGGGTTCCGTGCTCCCCCCCCCCCCCAATTTTCATAGACCTACCCCTAACAAGCATGTCGTGAAAAGTGACAAACTCCTTCGAAATCGGAGTGTATCTGTCTGAGAGGTGAATAACCAACAGTCTGCACACAAAAATAAACCAGATCTGTAAACGGATGTACATGCAAAACTCATGTTCTGGGAAAAGACCACAGTCAAGAGGTGGACGAACAGCAAGAACTTTTCGCCAGAGTTTGCAACGTTAGGAATAAAAAGAGAGAGGAGGTTTCAAGGATCCAGGCGAGGTACCAGCAATCATTAGTGGTCATAAACAGTGATTTTCATATTGTCACTTTATGTGTCCATTTTCTCACCGTATTCTCAAATTTCCACTCTTTCTCATACGTTTTTACTGTTGATGAAATAGGAGAAATGTCTGGGCAACCGCAAGTGCAACAGTTATAAGACAGAGAAGATGGTCGCTACACTAGACACAACCTAAAAAGAAACCATAAGAGAATCACCAATCAGGCATTACACTAGGAAATAAAGGGGATTAAGGGAGGCGAGAACGCCGAAAGAAACCGTAAGAAGAACGTTGATAAGAGAGGCCAAGGCTGCTGGACTGGATTCCACCAGGGGCGTCTGTACTGGGCTATTCGGCAACAGGTCTCTCATTCTGGCTGGACATCTTAACTATGGCTTTTTTTCGGGTAGAGCTTTTGTTAAAAGCGCCCTGAAAATCATACTTTTTAGGGGAAGAGGGAAAACACGGTAGTACGTACCTTGGCAGAAGAGGAAACATCGTCCCAGTAGGGGCTGGGAAAGTCGTAGTTTCCGGTCATAATCAGGTCAAATAGTTCGTCTTGATCTTCGTTGGCGCTGAGTCAAAGAACACATGGTTTGTGTCACAAAATAAAGCAGGCGATAGTTGTGTGTTTTTTTTTTTTCCAAATCAGTAATTAATTAACAGTAAAACGGAGAAGACCAAGAGAGACTCTGCGTAGAACCATCATCAGGGAAGGCTCAACCATGGGCCTAATAAACATCCAAGACCTAAAGCAGATGGAAACGAACTGAGAGCTATGGCCTGTGCCCTATGCGCCGCGCTAGGCTCAAAAGGAACGACTAACTAAAAAGTAAAGGAGCCCTTTTTCAATACGCAACCTATTATCCCGCTTGTGTGGTGTGTGTGTGTGTGTGTGTGTGGGGCGGGGGGGGGCTGGGGGGGGGGGGGGTGACAACATTGTTCCGAATTTCATGTCGCCAGTAGCCGACCCACGGGCCGCGTTAGCTCAGTCGATAAGAGGCTCGCTTTCAAATCCAGCTGCGACTCGCCTGCAGCCCACGATTTGCGTTCGAAACCGGGCGGCTCCCGGGGTTCACCCAGCCTTTAAGAAATGGGTACCAGAGTTGACACTCTGGGGTAAATAGAGGGACGTCGCTGTAGCTACAGAGTTACGTGCGAACGGCGACACAGGCGGACTATTCTTATCAGCTGTCCGTACTGGTGGCAGAGCACTTATGGTTAATAACCGTGTGCAATGACACTGGTTCACATCTCCCGACTTTACCTTGACCTTTAGTAGCCGACTTGCTGCCACAAAGAAAACACAGAGATTTTTTTATCGGGGGCGGGGGTAGGGGGAAAGATCTTTACTGTTTAACTGGGCAATAATAATAATTATAATTATTTTGTGTGTGTGCTGAAAGTCTAATAAATAATATAAAAATACTTGAAAAAATATGAAATACTTTAACAAATGATTAAAAGAGAACGTCTATGTATCGATAATTGGGGGGAGGGGTGGAAAGGCTTAAGGTCCTAGATCCTCCAAGTTCTGTCATTGTGTTTGTCGTATGCTGAAAGAAACATACTCCCGCTGCGTTGGTTTCGGGGCGCCATTTTAGATCCATTAGCATTGTCGTAGGAGGCATCTAATTAGGGTGTTTCCTTCAAAGTCAGAGTGCATATGCTTGCGAGACAAGGAATCAACAGTCTGCATATACATAATCCAGACCTGTAAAAGGCAAGTGCACGCACAATTTAAGTTCTGTATCAAGACCAAAGTCCAGCAGTGACGAACAACCAGAAATTTCCGCTAGAGTTGTCAGCCGGTGAACGCTAAGAAAAAAATAATCCTCGAGTTACGGTTCTTGGCATTCTCAAACTATTAATTTTTGGGCCGCAGGTGTCTTTTCATTCCACTGGTATGACATCAATATGGCTGCTTCTGGATACGCCAGTTAAGTAATTCTGTTTTAGTTGCTTTGAGTCAAGAATTGCCATCACAGCACTAGGGACATTCTCGTGCACGCTCTGTCCTCATCTTCAACAGCCAGCGTAGAGTTCAAATACTAATCGTACCCGTTGTAATATGTCCTTCTTGCCTTTCCTCTGAGTGTAGTGAACCGGTGGTTTTATTTGATTTATGTATGCCCTAATGAAGGCTCTCTAGCCCCAACGTTCAATTTCCGTTTGTGTTTGTTATACTGTGAAACTCACTGATCTACTTTTCGTTCGGTTTTATATCTTTCGAAGAAGCAGAAAGAAGCATTTGTAGCTACACAGTGAGAATGTCATAACTGTTGTAAAATTGTCGTCACAAAAGCATAGAAGTGGTCACTTAGTAAATGTCGTAACGTTTGTGATACTTGTCTCACAAGAGTATTAAGGTTAATTCTGATTAATCATGACATGCGTGCGTGCTTATGAAAGTGATATCATCCTGCCGTGTGCAGACAAAACACAAGTTACGTGTTATTTCAAACAGGGTTGCCATATTGGCATTTTTTATGCCAGATTTCACAAATTTGGCATATTTGAAATTGAGCTGGCATAAGATAATGAACTGGCATTTTCTGGCATATTTTGGGTGATGGTTTGGCATAAAATAAAGTTTTTTATCTGGCAACCCTGATTTCAAATTACCTTGAGAATGGCGGGAATCCACACAGCAGGATGTAGGCAATCACACCTGCCGACCAGACGTCAATCTTTAAACCATATCTGAAACAATCACACACGGTTATTTGCTACCTGTGTCCTTTTTATCTACCTCTATATTCGTCCATCGACCTGTCTGTCGGACCGTCTGCTTGTCATACGTCTTTCTACACCCATCATTCGATTAGTACATCTACACATTCACCAACCCATATATCCATCCATCCATCCACTTTACATCCATTATCCATCCACCCACACACCAATGCATCCATTTACTCACATACCACCAATATTTTTATCCATCCAATCACCCATCTATCCAACCCCCATCTATCTATCCATTTTCCCTCCCCCTCCCTCCACCACCACCCACCCCAAAACCCCCCCAACCCAACACGATCCCCTTTTTTTTCCCCCCTCCAACGCCAACACCCCCCCTCCCCCCGCCAAAACCCCGCCCCAGGAAAACCCCCCCTTTAATTAAAAACAAATTCCCAAAAAAATTCCAAAAACCCAAATTAAAAACAAATTTTTAAATTCAACATCAAAAACGGCCCCATTCCAAAACCACAAATTTCCCCATCCACACACAGCAACAATTTTTTTAAACAAACCAAAAAAGGGGAAATCACTACCCCCTTTTTCCTCATTTACCCGTTTCCCCCAAGGCATCGGCCTTTCTTTCG